TAAATCCCCTGAAAGAGCAGCAAGCACTCTTAACAGCTGAGCCATCTCTGCAGAATTTTGTTTTAATTAAACATGGAATTTTAAAAAAAAAATTACTTTTCTGGATGTGGTCATGCATGCCTTTAATCCCAGTGTTTGAGAGTCAGAGGTGAATAGATTTCTGTGAGTTTTGGACTAGCCTAGGCTATACAGTGAGATTCTGTCTCAAAAAAGTTACAATTCCAACTATTTGTGGCTAATAATTAGAAATATAAGCGATTTTAAATTATAATTATTTTTATGTTTATGGGTGTTTGGCTTCCATGTATGTCTGTGCACCACATGTATTCCTGATGCCCATGGAGGCCAGAAAAGGTCATCAGATGCCCTGGAACTGGAGTTAGAGATGACTGTGAGCCACCATGTAGGTGCTGGGAATTGAACCCAGATCCTCTCTCTGCAAGGGCAGCCAGTTCTCTTAACCACTGAGCTGGTGTTACTTCAACATAAAAATACAAGTAAAATATTCATTAAATCTAAATAGTGTGTTTTTAATGAGTCCCCTGACTTACTTACTGGTCTAGAGTTCTGTTGTAGACACCTGATGTTTTCTGAGTTTGCCAGTCACTGGTCCTGAGAATAAAGACCTCTCATACCATATAGCCCCCTGTCTCTCATCTCTTTCCTGCTTCATCGCACTTAGGAAGTTTTCCTCTCTGTCACCCTTCTCCCTGACTCTCAATCTTGTGCACATCAGGTCATCCATGGGCTTTCCATAGCAGATATCCTTCATTCATTTATAAAAAAGTTCTTTTCTATTCCTTACCTGCCGAAAGGCTTTTTTTCTACCATGTATGTTGAGTTCTGTCAAGTTCTGTTCTGTATAGAGTATGACTGCCATGTAGCTTTTCTATACCAGACTACTAGAGAAAACACAACTTGAGATGAAAATACATAATGTTGATAACTTACACAGGGTTCTTTAAGGAAACTGAACAATAGAATGAGTATCTGTTAAAAGGAGTTATTAGATCCGCTTGCACCATTTTGTCTGGGTAGTCTAGCAATGGCTGTCTTACATCAGAAAGGCCAAGAACACGGTAGCTGCTTCGTTCACGAGGCTGGATGTCTCAGCAGTCCGTTGTGGAGCTGTAGGTCTGGAGCATTCTTGGAAAGCTATTATCCTACACAGAGCTTTTGATGGCCGATGCCATTGTGTCTGTTGCAGGAGCCAGGGCATCAGTTCCAGTGCTGGACTGAAGTGTCCCTCAGTGTCCCTCAGAGTGGCAGTGGAGGAGTGGGGACAGCTAGCTCTCCTGGAGGTAGTCTAGTTGTTTTCCAAGGGAATGGTTAGCCAGAGCTCCTACTTGGGGTAGCCAGGCACAGGAAGAGATCTGACAGTTGTCATTGAAGTGACTGATTGCTTGCCCCACATAGTTCAAATTGTTCAAAGAAGAAAAAGCAGGAAACAAAACACAGCAAGGTTTGTGTGTGTGTGTGCATATGCCATAGGTTCAACATGCAATTAATATTTTCAGAAGTGCTTAACTTTGAACAGAGGCTCTTGGTGAGGTCTGGCTCTCCCCGTCTCAAGCCAACAGTAACTCTTCTCTCATATTCCTCTCTCTGTGGCCAGCCAGCACCACTCTCACTTGGAATATTTATGGTGCCCAGTTGTCCGGTGTCTAGTGACAATGATGGCATTTCTGCAATGGACTGTTGTTGCACCAGAGGCTCAGCCTGCTGCCGATAAATCAGTCAGTGGAAGGTAGGGCTGGCAGAAAACAGTTTGCATACAGTGACCTAGTGGATGGGAATCATCACAGGCATTCTGTCCTAAAGAAGCCTTGTGACAGATGTAGATGTAGTTCATGCAGAAGATGGTGACCATAGGCTGGTGGGCACCTCATCACAAGTGAAGGATTGGAGCCAATGACACACATGACCTTAATCCTCTGGCTGCAGATGCTTCCCAGGTCTGCAAACCTCTGGGACAAAGACAACCACTCCTTCAGGTTGTTCTTGTCACACAGTGGACAATAATAAAAAAAAAACAAAAAACAAAAAACAAAAAACAAAAAAACCCAGAGACAGTAAGATTAACTAAGGCCAGAGCTAGGCCTGGTCCCCTGCTTCAGCTTTTGAACCATGGCAGTCATCTTACAGTCTACCCTGCGTGCTGAAGGCGGGCTCACAGCAAGCCACACCCCCTCTGCTTTCTGTGCTTTGAGATATCATCAGTGTAAGCCACTGGTTCTCAGCCTGTGGGTCCCAGCCAGTTTAGGGGTTGGATGACCCTTTCATGGGGGTCACTGAAGACCATCAGAAAACACAGATATTTACATTAGGAGTCATAACAGTAGCAAAGTTACAGTTATGAAGTAGCAATGAAAATAATATTATAGGCCCGGCCCTTTCCTGTTGGGCTTGTGCGCAGGAGGCGGCGGTCTCGGACTCCGGGTCTCTTGTTTTCATTGCATAGATACCTTTACTGAAAACATGGTGAACGTACCTAAAACCCGAAGGATTTTCTGTAAGAAATGTGGCAAGCATCAGCCTCACAAAGTGACCCAGTATAAGAAGGGCAAGGATTCCCTGTATGCCCAAGGAAAGTGGTTACGGTGGGCAGACAAAGCCAATTTTCCGAAAGAAGAAAATGGTGCTCAGGTGTGAGTGTGTGGAGCCCAACTGCAGGTCGAAGAGGATGCTGGCCGTTAAGAGGTGCAAGCATTTTGAACTGGGAGAAGACAAGAAGAGAACCAGCCAAATGATCCAGTTCTAAAACTTGTGTCTTCTGAGAGGAAAATGCTGAAGCAGTAGGAAAATGACTTGTTAGAAAATAAAGTTATTGTTCCTGATAAAAAGAAAATAATTTTATAGTTGGGGGTCACTACAGCATGAGGAACTGGCGATGTTAGGAAGGTTGAGAACTGCCGATGGAAGCAAAGAATTCAAGTTTTTCAGTCCAGTTTTCTTTCTTTTTTGTTTTGTTTTTTGTGTTTTTTTTGTTGTTTGTTTGTTTTTTGAGATAGAGTTTCTCTGTGTTACTTTGAAGCCTGTCCTGGAACTCTGTAAATCGGGTTGGCCTTGAACTCATAGAGATCGGTCTGCCTCTGCCTCCTGAGTGCTGAGATTAAAGGTGTGTCCAGTTTTCATGCAGATTTGTAAAGCAGCAGCCTGCCTCATGCTGGCTTTGGCATCTCAGATGGGATGTTTCTATGTGGGCTCTTGATGGTCCTGTTGTGGAGGGATGTGTGATATTAGTGTTTGGCCCACATGGGAAGCTGAGGTACTTGATTAAACACTTGCATGTTATTATCCCCTACACACACACACACACACACACACACACACACACACACAACCTGCATCCGTGCCTTTATCCTTTAAGAGCTTCCTTGACTATTACAGCAGTGGTTTTACAGGTGAGCAGTTAGAAAAGGAAGCCACTTGTCAAAGGTCTCCACACTAGGAAGGGAAGGGACAGATGTATGCTTGATCTCGCTCCAGGATGTCCCCACTGGCATCTTTAACTCCATGATTTGGGGACCCTGACTCACAGGGCCATGTCAATTTAGAAATGCACTTTTGGCCAATTTTCAGTTATTCTTACTAAAGCTTTAATTATGTGGGGAGACTTTCTGGGCATAGCTTCTGACATTACCCAGAGACACAGTCTCTTGGCAAACTCCCCAGTTCACTGTTTCTTACAGTTTTTCCTCGCCCTCTTCCATAAGTTCCCAGTGCCTTAGGTGCAGGAGTTGTCTGGCTAAACATGAGCTGAACAAGGACAGGGGAAACACCATGAGGCCTCAACCCTACACAAAGAATTACAGACAACTAAGAAACAATCCTCCCCAGGGAAGAGTATACCAACTGGTTATCCACCACCAAATGGTCAGCCCTGAAAACACACATTCAAGTAACATTGTACAGACTGAACAGGTTATATTTAGGAATATATAGGTAGATAGTACACACACATGCATGTAACAACTATTAATGAAAAAAAGATGTTGTAAACTTGAAAGACAGCAAGAAAGGCAAATAGGAAGGTTAGCAGGCAGGAGCGAGAAGGAAGAAATTATATAATATTAATCTCAAAAATGAATAATTAAAAAAACTTTGTGTACCAGTTTATATTGCTGCCATGGCAAAGACCTTAAGTCCAGTACCTCCAGTGCCATAAAATCTTCCTAATGTGTGGCAGGAGATGCCCAGTGCAGGGATCAGTGGACTAAGGTATAGATATGAGCAGGAGCCCTGGAAGCCCAGGCTTTTTCAGATACTGTGGGCCCATGCATGTGTTGGCTCCTAGTTTCTTAGACACAGTGCCTCCTACTGCCTGTTAGCGGCTTTCTCCATGTGTAAGGAAAGATTCATGTGGGTCAACCATACAGTCAAGGATACCTTTCCACTCAAGGCCTAGCCTTGTTGTTATCATTGCTGGTATGTGTGGATGTGTGTGTGTGTGTGTGTCTGTGTGTCTGTGTGTCTGTGTCTGTGTGTCTGTGTGTGTATTTAGCAGGGCTGGTGATTAAATCCAGGGCCTTGCAAATGCTAATTAAATACCCTACCACTGAGCTCTCCCCCAGCCTGAAAGGTCTACCCTGAACCACTGTACTGTCCTCTCTACTATGTACAGTAAGCAGTGACAGGCTCCAAAATGAGGTCATGACTACTTTAAAAGCCATCATCTTGCTGACCAAATTCATTGACTTCTTCAAGTAATGAGTTGGGAAAGATTACCTCATGAACACCAGAATTTTGACCAGACCCCTTTGTTTCTTCCTTCAGCACTTGCCACCCACTGACAGAACAAGTTGACACAGGGTGCAAAGATCCTCTGGTTTCCCCTTTTAAAGAGTCAATCTGTGGCGCTATTTTACAAAACGATTTTGTTTGCCTTAGATTTGAAGCTTCATATAAATTCATAGCAGTTGGTTTCAACTCACTATTAAGTATCTAATCCATGTGGTATTATAAGAAAAATGGTTTAATGTAGTTTTTGTTTCATACAGGTTTGGACTTAGAACTACCACGAAAGTCAATTGGAAGCAGTTTTTAACTGTATTTTATGAGCGGCAGGGGTTGGAAGTCAGCAAGGCAATTCCCCAGAAGAAAAGAAGCAGGTATATTCAAAACCAGAGTACAAACTACAATATGCATTAGGTTAGAGAACATGTGGATTGAATTTTTTTTCATTTATTCAATGACCAACTGTCTTCATTGACTAATTGTCAATGTTTAACTAGTGCTTTAGTGTTTATACATAATTTTGCATTCACCTTTTTTGCTTAAAGTCTCCTTAAACAGTAGGGATGGCATTCTTGTTCCAGCTTCTAGAGAAAAAGGAGCCTGGGAAATACCAGTGGGACCACACACCCTGAGCTTGAAGGCTCCTCCAGCACACACAGCACCTGCTCACAGGGCTCCCCAGGAGACCATGTGCAAGCACAAACCGGCTGTGTGTTTTATGGAAAGGGAAATAACCTGCTTTCCTGTTGCTCTGCTAGTGATGTGGCAGTCATGGGAGTTTCTTGCCTCGGGCACCAGTGTTTGTTTCCTGCTAATGTCTGTTGTAACTTCAACTGGAAGTTGTAGTGGCAACTCAGAAATGTAAAATGAATAAAGGACTAAGACACCACTTTAGAATTTAGACTTTATCTCCAAGGAGTCTCTCGTTTACCTTCTGTGTGATCTTTATTGATTACCATGCATGAGCCATGAAGAAATAGACAAAGTGTTTTTTTGTTTTGTTTTGTGCGTTTTTTTAAATAAATATATAATTTCATTGGGTACATTGAGAGTGCTTAGCCCTATTGCAAAGCAAAATGTACCACAGAGTTAGTGCTCACTCTGCTTCACTGGAGCCTTTCCCACCTGAGGACTCAGATATTTAATGACCACCATGGCTATCAGCTTTTCAGATGTCCAGAGTTCTCTTGCCCTGCTGCAAGGAGGCAGCTGTGAGCATGTGTCTGAGGAGGCAGCTGTGAGCATGTGTCTGAGGAGGCAGCTGTGAGTGAGCATGTGTCTGAGGAGGCAGCTGTGAGCATGTGTCTGAGGAGGCAGCTGTGAGTGAGCATGTGTCTGAGGAGGCAGCTGTGAGCATGAGTCTGAGGAGGCATCTGTGAGTGAGCATGTGTCTGAGGAGGTGCTGTGAGCATGTGTCTGAGGAGGTGCTGTGAGCATGTGTCTGAGGAGGCAGCTGTGAGCATGTGTCTTGAGAAATTCTATTTTGCTACAGTTTTCTTGTCTGATAACACCTTGTTTAAGGCTATTTGGATAAAATTAAAGTTTCATTTATTTGTGGCATTTTTAAAAATTAGAGACAGTGTCTTACTGTGTGGCCTAAGCTGGCCTTGAACTTATCATCTTCCTGTATAGGCTCTCATTAGCTTTAAAACAGCAATCCTCCACTAGGGGCAGTGTGCCTACCAGGAGGCTCTTGGCACTATCACAGGATACTTTTGATTGTCGTGGTGGTGGTGACAATGTCTAGTGAAGTCTTTGGTAGGGAGGCCAGAGGTGCAAGAAGTCTTCCCACAATGGAGAAGGACCTGTCACCATGCCTGATAGTCATGACAATAGGTAAATGGGGATCGCTTGTCCAGTATCTGCTTGTAGCGATACAGTCTAATTTTTGTGTCACTCTCTTCCAGTTAGTCACATGAGCCATGAGGTACAGAGCCAGAGTACATTTCTAAAAAGGGGTAGTAGCTGTGTTGTTGCAGAACTGCATATTCAGTGTATCAAATCCAACAAAAGTGAGAATGGTGCTACACATGAACCATCTACCCCTGGGGAGTAGGTGTGGCGCCGCAGAGGTGCGTAGACGTTTGATCAAAACCCCAGCAATTGTGAGCATAGTCCCATACACAAACCATCCATTGCCATGCTCCCCTCTTGTGGGAATAGGAAATATCTATTGAGAAATGAGGAAAGGGAGGACCATAACTGAATTTTATTACAAAGTATCTAATTTTTCAATTGCTATAACAAAACCACGACCAAGGTAACTTATTTTTTAAAAAGCATTTATTTGGGGCTTATAGTTGCAGAGGGTTAGAGTCCATGCCCACCATGGTAGGGAACATGGCAGCAGACAGGCGGGCATGGGCTGGATCAGTAGCTGAGAGCGCACACCTTTATCCAAAAGTTGGAGGCAGAGAGGACGAACTGGGAATGGCATGAGTTTTTTGAAACTTCAAAGCCCACCCACAGAGACACACCTCCTCCAGCAAGATTAGGTATGCCTCCTAATCCTTCCCAAACAGTTCCACCAAATGAGCCCGTGGAGGGCATTTTTATTCAGCACCATGCAGGGGTCTGTTCTCCCTTTCTGATGGGAATTTACAAGCCTTAGCTCGCAAAGTGGGTGGCCGTGTCCTCCAAGAACACTCATATGGTTGATGGAGCTTCAGGGTAAAAAGTCAAAGGTGAAAAAAGAGAAGAAGTCCTGAGAGTGCAAGTGGCCATGGCATAGTCACTGGAGGACAGAGACTGGGACTTAAATGCCCTCAGCTGTGGGACTGGTGTGCTGTAGCTTACTGCCTGCCCCAGGGTCCAGGTGGCCAGCAATCTTTGGTTTCCTTCTTGGCCTTTTTGTGACATCAAATTCATGGGTTTTGAAAGACGCCTGACTAGGACTGTTCAGCATTGGGAGCAGAGGGAAGTAGGATGCATAGCTAATGGAAGGCTGTGCACAGCCCCTCCAGGGCAGTTAACTGTCATATGCACCTAGTAGCAAACAGGCCTGCCCCTGTACACTACCCTTTTTGAAGAAAGAGCCCCCACAAAGCCAGTACTGTGAGAATTGAGGGCACTTGCTTTTTGCACCAAGAACAAGACCAAGGGTGCAATATCCTTCCTGGTGTTCTCCTGCTCCTCTTTGCAGCATCGACTCTAGAAGCCAGTCTCGCAAGGAAAATATCATCAAGAAGTTATTCAGGTACTCGGAAGAGCGCTACACAGCCCTGAAGAAGGCATTGTTAATTATCAGCACGGTAAGAGCCTGAGCCCTTGTCCTGGGAGACCCACTGGCGGTAGGAAAGTCCACACTCAGTGTATCTAATGAGTGGAAAGGTGATCAGGAGGCTACAGCTTGTCCAGGAGGATAGGGTAGTCAAAGCGACTGAGTTGACAAGCATGCAAAGACATCGCAGTTCTATACGCTGCTTCTGAGAATGAAAACTGGTTCAGCTGCTACGAACAACAGTGTAATGGGTTCCTTAAAGATCAAACAATGGACCATGTGATCTAGTGATTCCATAACTAGGTATCAGCCAAGAGACACAGAAACATATCCTCGAAAAGACACAAGTATAAATGTTTCAAGTGACACTCGTATGTTCTAACTGAAAATAACCCAGACACAGAAAAGCAGTATGTGACATTTCCATACAATACCAATTAGGAATGAAAAGAAAGGGGATGCTGGGCATGAGAGGGAACACAGTTGTTCAGGAGACAGGTTTGGGGGTGATGCAAATGTTCTTGTCTCCTTGATGTTGACCACACAATTCTGGGCATGCCTCAGAAGTTAGTAAGGAAGTTGTCAGTGATTCCTGTTTGGATGATTGAACACTAATTACCATTCAAAACCAAACCACAAACAAGCATGTTTAGTTCAGTTACCTCAGAGAACCTATCTTTCATAGCTGGGAGATGTGAGTACTAACACTTGCTGTGAAAGCATGAGGACTTGAGTTTGAATCCCCAGCACCCAGGAAAGAGCCAGACGTAGCCATGAACCATGTGCCTGGTGCCATTGAGAAGAAGGCAAATGGATGGCTGGGCTCTATGGCAGCCAACCTTGCCCCAGGTTGGGGGGGGCTTTCTCAATAAAGTGACATCAGGACACCCTTTAACCTTCTCTGGTCTTCACATGTAACACAAGATACCTGCACTCGTGTGTGTGCATACACCACAAATGCACACAGAAAATAAAAACAAAAATAAGAATTTTAGGGGCTCAGCACTTAAGAGCACTTGCTGCTCCTTCCAAGGACCCAGGTTCAGTTCCCAGCACCAACTTCCTGAGACTCCTCTTCCAGGACATCTGACACAAAAGAGGTTCTGGCCTCCAAGGGTACTAGGCACACACAGATACACATGCATACACATACACAGGCATTAGCACATACATATATAAAAATAAATTTAAAAAAGAACTCTGCTCTCTTCTCAGCTTCTGAACCCACATTTATACCAGACTGTGGCAATGAATGACAGCTGCTGACTGACACTCAGAATGTCCCTCTCCAAGTTAGAGGCTCTGTGTTACCTTTCCCAGAAAACAGGGGCTCTTAATTTTTCATATTTAGTTAACTTATTGACAGTGTTCAGTTCCATGGGGACATGCTTGCTTCAGAAGGCTTTGCTTCTAGTATTAATGTAACATGGCAGAGATCTTTCCCTCAGCAACTGCCCATCTCTGTAATCCACGAGGTTGGAGATACTGGAAACACATCTGGTTGACATTCTGAGCCAACAGGTGGGACTAGGAGGAAGAGGGTTTTAATGCTGTGGAGACCCTTTGGAAGGGGTTGGCCTGTGCTCCCCAAAAGGACCTCATTCCTCCAGGCCACTGCATACCTGTTTCCTAGTAGAGTAACTGTTATAGGAAGAGCCTTGGAAGCCTTGGAAAGCCTTGGTGGCTTCCACCTCTGCCCTACTCTTGTCACATGTGGCATATGGAGTAGCCATTTACTGCTGTTTTAAGTCATGACTCAGCTTGGCCAAAGCCTATGCGTTACTGTTGTTGAATACGCACATGGTGTTTCCTGACTTTTAAAATGTCTTTTTAAAAAATAATTCCTGATATTATTGATGTTGTCCTGCTCAGACACCCAATGGACACATGACTTGGGAAGAATTTCGACATGTTCTAAACTGCATGGTTGCAAAGTTAAATGACTCAGAATTCCACGAACTGAAGCAGACATTTGACCCTGAGGGCACCGGAGCAGTGAAGGTCAGCTCCCTACTGGAGGCGTTGGATGACAGCCCTAAGGTAGGTCTGTGAAGGTCTCTTGGCTGGGAGTCAGTGTTCTTAACAAAATACAGTTTAAATTAATGACTTGACATTTTCACATGTTTTTATTTCAAGTTACAGTTGAGAGATTATTTGATTTAAGTTTTTGTTTTCTAAACATTTCTGGAAAATCTGCCCTGAAGTGACAGATACTAGGCAGGGCTGAACTTACAGCCAGGTCTCGCAAAAGAGTATTTTGGAGTCACACTTGGTGGCAGCAGCACACACTCGTGGCCCCAGCACTTGATGGGCGGAGGCTGGAGAAGTGCTGTGAGTTCAGGGCTACTCTGGGCTAAAGAGAGTACCAGCCTAGCCAGGGCTACATAATAAACAACTACAACAGAAACATGTTTGGGAAGAGATCTCATGCCCTGATCTGACAGAGTTTTAGATACAACTACCGTGTCCCCTGATGTCTACCAGTAGCTTTTAGTCATTGCTGCTTTTGACTGAAAACTCTGCGGTTACATTAAAAGTAGCTCTGCAGCACCAATTAGCATTAGCAATATTTGAGAACATTTAGAAAGTCAGATTAGTTGCATGCATGGCCTTATTGTCAGAATGTTGGGCTATTTGCCTTCACTATGGAGGGAAATTGCTGAGCATGGACTTTCACACACTGAAGTGTGATGTACTAAGTCAAAATGTATAGGTATGTCCATGCCTACACACACACACACACACACACACACACACACACACACACACACCACTTCTTTCTAAGAATGAGAAATATAGGACATGATGGAGGGGTTTGTGGTCCCACAAGTAAGACACTGGTTATGGCCATACTTGGCCATATGGGTAAGGAGGGATTGGATCTGTGTGCCCAGGTACATAGGTATGCCTTAATTTAGTTTACCACTGGTGCTTGAGAACAAGATCAAATGAGTTTTCAGGATACAGAGGTCATCTGGGGTGGGGAGCTTGAGCCAGTGTTCACTTTGTGGCCACCATCTCCATGAGCTGCATCGGGGGCAGATGGTGTATCTCTTGAAGACACATGTCTTTTACGACAAGATTGGTGATAGTAGCAGCCTGTAGTGTTGCTGTGGAAACTCAGCAGGATAAAGTATACACACCAAAAATGTTCCAAATCTAAATATTCAATCTCAGTCATTTGATGAATGCCTGAGTATCTCTTGCACAAGCACTGCCCACACCCTGAGCCTTCCTAACCCTGCTTGCAGAGTGAGTGGTAGTTTTTAGTACCTTTCCCAACCCCAGGGTAGCTCAGGTCTATAGTGGCCAGGGCTTCTCACCCCGGGGGGGGGGGGGTGCAGCAGCTGTGCACCTTTTCGAACCAAACCAAACTGAGACTGTAAGCAGCCTCTCCATGCAGCAAGGGACATGATCTTTGTTTGATGTAACCTGAGAAGTGACACGTGTGTGTGTGTTTGTGTGTGTGTGTGTGTGTGTGAACACATGCTTAAACCTGCCATGTATATGTGTACACATGCTCAAACCTGTCATATGTCTGTGTACACATACTCAACCATATCATGTACATGTGCACACACTCAAACCTTCCATATATATGTGCACACATTCAAGCCTGTCATATATATGTGCACATACACTCAAACCTGTCATGTATAACCAACCCTATGATTTGTATGTTGACACACATACTTCCTTTATCAAAAGCAGTTATATTGGAGCATAAATTATGCTTTTAAAAGCATTCACATCTACCATATGCATTTTTGATGGGTTTGGATATATGCTTTTATGTATTGCACCCGACTTTGCCTACAAATAAGTTCATGTTAATGTGTTTAGTCTGTCATCCTTCATTAAGCCACCACTACCATTTAACACAGTGAGGTTTGCTACCTAATTTTAAAGGATACTGTAGATCCTCCTTTGTTATCATCTTGTCATCCAGTTTTTTTCCCTTTCGGAAATTTTGCTCCAACCTGGACCAGTCAGGCAGAGCCAGCGTTCAAACCCAAGCCTGTAGCTTCCTGTCACCACACAGGAAACACTTGTACTGATAAGGCTTCTCTCATTCACTTAGGTGAGAAAAATGTTCCCCTCTACAGACACCAAGGCAACTCTGCCTGTGGCTTGGGATTCAGTAAGTACCACCAGCCTTCTGTTTGTATTTGCCGTCCCCATGAGCTCTGAGGGTGTCTGTATCCCAGCTTCTCGTGCAATAAATGTATTACTTTTTGTGTGTTAGGTAGAAGAAATGGTGCTTAATGCCATCAGCAGGAACCTCCAGAACTTTTACGGCATGCTGCAGTCATATGACCTTGGGGACACGGGGACTATAGCAAGAAATAACTTCAAGAAAGTCATACGCATATTCTGCCCATATCTATCGAATGAGCACTTTATAAAGTAAGTTCACGGGTCCTTCACTTCCTGCTCCCCCCCCCAAGCCTGCTCCATGACACCTGTGGATAGTATTGGTAATAGACACTATCTGTTGAGTCCTCACTGAGCAGCAGGGTAATTCAGTCTTACCACCACCACTAATGAGTATGGATGGAGAAGCTGCATGGCCTCAGTGAGTCCTTAGTGAGTGGGGGGACTCAGGTTTCAGCTGGGTCTCTGGGATCTCTGGTTATTCCTTTTTTTTTTTTTTCTAAAAAAGGATTTATTTTTAAGTGAGTGAGGGTGTGTGTGTGTGTGTGTGTGTGTGTGTGTGTGTGTGTGTGTGCGTGTGCAAGCACAGTGCCTGCAGAGGTCACACATCCTCCTGGATACTTGAGGTTGGGCCTCTTAATTTTTAGGCTTGGGCTGGAGAGGTGGCTCAAAGGGTAAGGGTGCATACAGCTCTTTCAGAGGACCCAAGTTCAGTTCCCAGCACTCACATCAGGCTGCTCACAACCACATGTAACTCCAGCTCCAAGAGCTCCAACACCTCTGGCCTCACTGGACACCTGCACTGACACATACATCTGTGAAAAAATACACATATATGGATGGATAAATATGTAGATACACATCTACCGACACAGATTTTTTTTTTTAATTCTTAATTTTAGCCTTTTTTAAAATGGGCATACTCTTGATAATTTTCCAACTTCAGACTCTCCAGTAAGTTTCAAGACACAGCCTCAGGAAGGGTCCTGTACAAGAAACTTCTGTTGTCCATCGGTGTCAGTATCCCACCACCCATCTGTCCACTTTCTGTTCCGAAGGATCAACCAAGTGAACAGCTGCAAAAGGAGGAGCAGGGTCAGCCAGATCTTGCTGAGAGGTAATGTAAGAGCAAAGAAGGGTGCCCTAGCACCACGGTGCCTTGCTGGAGGAGACACTCCTCGGGTACTCAGGTCTGCTCTGTGTCACCAGAATTGTGATCAATTAAGAAAGGACAGCGCACTAGATGCTTGTGGTTAGAGCAGGTGGAGCTCTTGCCAATAATTGAATCCACTTTCGGATTTTAGAAATGAAAGCTGGATAGTCCCAGAGCTGGGGGAACTTGCCAAGGTTGTTCTAGTGTTGACAGTCTAGGACTCTCACCTCCCAGACAGCTTAAATGCTCTGCACCTGCATGCATCCCCATCTCCTCTCTCACAGGAGCTAGAGCCTTCGCCACAGCTTACCATTTATTGTAAAGCACACCCATTAACACAGCTAACATCTTCCAATGTGAAAATAGTGGAGCTGTTAAAACGATAGCCAGATTGAACTGTCTGAACTGTCAGCTGCAAAAAAGACCAGACTGATGGATATTCTGGCTTTCACTTCCTTTTGAAAAAATATTGGTTCTGTGTAAGGAAACGATGCCGTTTTAACCGCTTGTTCGTAACATGTCATGAGCCTGCAGGAATGGCAACACCTGGGAGGTGCCATCTTGTCATTTCTCTTTTTCAAACTTCTTGAGTATGGGGTGATGGGAATGTTTTTTTAAGAGAAAGCTTAACTATCTGGCGGCATGTCTCCCTAAAGCCAGGAGAAGGAATAATGGCAGTTAAGCTGTTCATAAAGCAGGCTTTCCCAGAGGGAAGAGTGGAACTCTGCTCTGCATAGCTGTCCCATGCTGTCCCATCCTTTCTGATGGGCTCAGGAGACTGTAGTGGGCAGGGGAAGAACTATCTCCCAACTGCACACCCCTCCTCATAATATGCTTTATGAATTAAGTTGTTTCTGCAGAGCAGCTCAGGGTAACCATGACTTCTCAGAGCTGCCATAGATGGCCCATGACTTCATTCACTTAGTTCCTACAAAATGCTTTGCCTAACTTGAAGTGTCCCTGTAGGCCCTGACTTTGTTTCCCTGGTTCATGAAAGCATTTTGTTTTCAATCTTATATGCAGCCCCTTGTGACAGTGGGGTTGAGACTGCAGGAGCCAGAAGCAGCTGGTCACGCTGTATCCACAGTCTGGAAGCAGAGAAAAATGGATACCGGTGTTCGCCCACTTCTTTTAAGCAGTTCAGGCCTCCAGCCTGGAGCACAGTGCAGCCCACTTTTAGTGAGGGGTTTGTTTCTTCATCTCATTTAGCCTAGTCAACATACTCCTCAGAGGCATCCCCCAAGGAGTCCCTCCCAGGTATTCCTGGTGCCTTGTCTCTAGGCAATTCCAGATCCTGTCTAGCTGACAACAGTAACCATCACATGTGTCTAGCCTCATGCTCTTTCCACAGGCTCCAAGTTGAGAGCCTTAGTGTGAAGATAGCACTGCCCTTCCTTGATGGCTTGTCACCGTGCACAGGCAGCAGGACCTCTGCTGCTAAACTGCAGCCCTGCCTCTGCAGCCACAAGCACAGAAAGAAAGCCCCATTCTCTGATGGGGTTATCACTTCTGATGGGGGCTCTAAACCCCCTTGCTACCATGGAATGCATGGTGAGCAGGCAGTGGCGTGCCAGCTGGTGGAAAGCTCAGTGCCTACTTGTGATTTCAGAACCCAGCCCATGAAGGACAAAACAACGGAGGCCAAGATCATGACCAAGGAGGAAGTCATCAACAGACTCAAGCAGTGTATCCAGCAGCAGGACCCGGTATTCAAAAAGCAGTTTCTTAGCATCAGCAAGCAGCCCGATACAAAGATCGGCCTGGAGGACTTCCGGAAGGTAGGAACCCATGCCCTGTGAGGCATCCTTTCTGACTGAGTTGTGTGTTCCATCCCACCACCACACATGCTTCATCCATCGTTGCTGCTTATTTATTTTGCAGTGGGGAAGGATGCTGATAGGTAGTAAAAGAATTTACAGGCAGTGCCACCAAAACACCAGTTCATTTAATATGTCGTGAGGCGAGGAGCACAGGCTGGGCAAGTCATAAGAGCACAGCCTATAGACCAGAGCTGGCTACAGTGGGCAGACTCAAGAGCACAAGTGTGGTTTGTTGTTTGGCAGGGCCACCCCATTTCCAGTTGCCACTCAACAACTTCAGAGGATCCCTAGGGCCCCAGATCATCAGCTTTGGCAAATTTCTTCCAAAAATTTTTCCAGTATGGATATGGCTTGATTTGGGTATTTAAACCTTTTCAAACAACATTTCTTGCTGTTCTGTTGGGCTAGCCATGTGTACCTGGCCCTGTGCATTTGCTGGAACCATGGAGCAGGGGTACAGAGCTGTGTGGGCCCCTGCATGCTAGTGAAGGGTCATCATGATGCTAGATAATAGATCTGGGATTTGTTCCTCTAGGAGGAGGTGGTGGCGGGGGAGACATTGAAACCTGGGAGAGACAGGGTGCTTATGGAACCAGCAGATTTGTATAAAAGTCCCAACTTGAAGGGCCCTGCATGGGCTTTAGGAGTTCATTTACACTATTGCTTAAGACTCCTACAAAGCACTCCAGCCTGCAGTGCTTTGGCTATTCCCCCGAAGACGTCTCAGTTAATATGCTGTAGTGGTCATGTGGACAGGCTAGGAAGCAGTGCAAACAGTTTCCAAGAAGACAGTACTCACTTGCGTGCCTGCTATTTCCCTGGTGTCTACCTCCAGGCCATGCATCATAAGCAGGGGCCCCGATGAAGAGCTCTTTCTGGTGTCTTCACTCTGTGATTCCATTTAGAGCAGTTGCAGATAAAGGCTTTGAATACTGGGCTATTGTCTTACTTAGGGTTTCTTTTTTGCTTTTGTTTTTGTTTGTTTGTTTGTTTGTTTTTCAAGACAAGTTTCTCTGTGAAGCTTTGTAGACCAGGCAGGCCTTGAACTCACAGAGATCTGCCTGCCTCTGTCTCTGGAGTGCTGGGATTAAAGGCATGTGCCACCACCACCTGGCTTACTTAGAGTTTCTATTACTGTGATGAAACACTATGACCAAGGCACCGTGGGGAGGGTGGGTTATTTGGCTTGCATTTCCACATCATAGTTCATCACTGAGGGAAGTCAGGCCTGGAACCTCAACAGGGCAGGAACCTGGAGGCAGGTGATGCAGAAGCCACGTGGGTAGATCCTGCTTACTGGCTTCTTCCTTTTATCTTGCTCAGCCTGCTTTTCTTATGGAACCCAGGACCAGCAGACCAGGGATGGCACCACCCACAATGGGCTGAACCCCCCCACCCCAACCAACTAAGAAAATAAAATGCCTTGCAGTAGGATCTTATGGAGGCATTTTCTCAATTGAGGGTCCCCACTTTCAGATGACTCTAGCTCATGTCAAGTTGTCACAAAATTATCCTGCACAGCTGTATTCTGCCACTGTCAGCACAGAAGGGACTCTTGTTGTCTTTCTGGGTGCCTAGCCAGATTCAGCACGTAGAGCAAAGGTTCTCCTCACTGGGGCTCAGGAAATGCCCTGGGGAGCAGCTGAAGCCTCCATGATGGATGATGGGTGAAGGAGAGTGTATAGGCTTAGCTCAGTGACTGGACTCCCTGTCTCCAAAAGCTTCCTGATGTTCAGGATGCCTTAATGGGGTCACCAGCTTTGTAAGAGGTCCTCTGCACCTGATTTCATTGCCTAAGCCCCACAAGACCCTCAGAAGTTTGGGCTTATTTCTCTGCATTCCGGCTCCAGCCTTGGCCAGAGAACAGCTGGATTCTCAGGGCAGGTAGACACACTCAAACTGGTACAGTGGCAATGTACTGATCACTCACCATTATCGTCTTGGGCCAGTTCGCAGGAGGCTTGGTTTTCTGAGGATGTCAGTTGGGCTCTATGAGTTTTCAGAAGTTCTATACGTTTACCAAGGTCTTGACTGACTGCTCATTCCACAGACATGAGAGAGGAGAGAAGTATGACTGTCTTTCTTGTTTGTAGGTTCTTCTATGTTCTGTTAATGCTGTGTGAGCCACCCTGAGGCTGTTACTGAGAGACACTGCATGGCCTCAAGGCTATTTTCCTTCTGGTTCCTTCCTTTTGGTGACTGTTAGGCTGGTGTTGGTTTTCTCACCTTTGACTTTCAAACTCACTGGGCACTATCAAGCAAGCCTCTTGTGGGCACATTTAACTCACTTTTCATAAAGTATAGTCAAGCATCTTAGCTTTTTTCTCTAACCTGAACATCACATGGTTTGTTTTCTGCCCATTCCTGCCTTTAGGTTATTCAGCTACTTCTGTTGTTCCATACTCCCCTGTATCCCTTTATGAGTTGACCAGTTTCCATTCCCATAGTAAAGGCTGTGCTGGAGACTACAGCTCACTGCGTGCATCTCATAACAGTGCAGAGCACTTTAGTATTGTGGAAAAAAAAAAAATCCTGGAAAGAAATCCTGTCTGCAGAGACTGGCTGACGGATTAGAGTTCCAGAGACTGGAATATTGCAATTCCAGGTGCTAATGACCTTATCTTGGGCTAGTTATAGCCCCCCAGACAGCCATTCATTGCCCACCTCTGTATGGAACTAATATCTTGTGACAAATAGATTAAAACCTTATGGAATCAGTTAACTTAGCAGACAACTAACTTCTACCAATCCAAAAGCTTCCCGCCCCCATCTCATTGTACCCATCTCTCTGGTGTACCCACCAGTGTATTTCAAAGTTGCCTTGATTTATAACTTCCTTTGTTCTATAAAATTCTTGAAACTTCATGAAACTGCCTCCTTGTAGGAACATGGAATTTGGGGTGACCTAAATCAGTGTTGCTGGGTCATGGTCACTCAAAATGGTTCTGAAATAAACTGTATCTTATTCCTTTAGGATAAGAACTATGGGTTATGTGCCAAAAGTACTTTATCATCTATTTTGTGGTACTGTTTGCCACAAACTTCAATTTTACATATAATCTAAAATTCCAAGGGACATTATCTTTTGTGCTATAATTAACCTGACCTAGCAACCTGTCCATACATATTTAGACTAACTGTATGTCTGTCTGTCACTATATCCTCCTCCTTTTCCTTCTCCTCCTGTTCCTCTTTGCTTGAAATTGACCTCATTTTTTCATCCTGCCTAAAGCTCTCCCTTTGTACATTCTTTAGTGAGAATGTCCCAGCTGCCCATTCTCAGATTCTGTGTACAGCATCATTTAGTGAGAATGCACCAGCCGCTCACTCTGAGTTTCTGTGTTTTAGAGTTCCTTAGTTTTCTGCTTAAGGCCCTTCATCTAGACTACACTCAGAACACTATGGAAACTTAGTCACCCATCCCCCAAGGCTCCTCTTGGCTATGACAATTTTCCAGACTTGTTATTAATTTTCCATTGTTTTTGAGGATCATGGCTAATTTTTGAGGATTCCTGATCAGAATTAATTTTAATTAAATAAGTGTGTGTGTGTGTGTGTGTGTGTGTGTGTATTGGCACACACTAAAAATTCCAGTTTTGGTGGAAGACCTAAATTTATGGGTTTAAGAAACTCAGAAGATCCAAAGTAGAATAATACAAAATCAGAGACAAGGTGCTAAAAACCCAAATCAAAGAACAGTGTGAGCCATGCTCCAAGTGTCTACCTAACCATCTGCAGGAATGATGGAGCTGAGGGACAGTGGGACACACTAGAGGCGAGAGTGGGCACAATCAGAGCCACATGAGCTTGGAACTTTGTGTCCAGTCTCCCTTTAAAAATGGAGACAAATGCTGGGTGGTGGTGTCACATGCCTTTCATCCTAGCACTCAGGAAGCAGAGGCAGGCTGATCTCAGTGAGTTCCAGGCCAGCCTGGAACCCTGTCTTGAAAAACAAAACAAAATAACAACAAAAAAGGGAGTCAAATGGATGTCTTCAACTTAAGCGAGGTAAAACAAAAGGAAGGCAAACCTAAGGAACTCACTGCAGCACCAGCCATGCTGTAGGAAGTTCCAAAACATAAGGAACGAGATGCTGTGAAGACTTAGATGCTCCCTATGAGGGACAAAGAGCAGTATCAACAGCACCTGCCATGCAGACATGAGCACTGGAGTTCACATCCCCCAAGTCCCACATAAATACTGTGTAGGCATGACTACCTGTAATTTCTGCATTGGCCAAGGCAGAGAGATCTCTGTGAGTTCAAGGCCAGCCTTATCTACAGAGTGAGTTCTAAGACAGCCAGTGATGCTTGAGAATAGTTCCCAGTATCAGCCTAACACACATACACACCATACATGCACATGGGAACAGAGAGCAGTTGGCTAAGTGTGAAAGGCTACTCTTAATTTACAGAATGTACAGGAGTGTTTGAGGCTAAAAACTACAGCCTTGCCTTGGCAAATTTACTATCTATGTAGATATAGACAAACTACAGCACAGCAGAAAAGTCAGCAGGGACCCCAATGGCTTCCAGGATTCTGCCTTGTGTGTGGAGTGATGCAATGTTCCCTAGCTCAGCAGTTCTCAACCTTCCTGACACTATAACTCCTTAATACAGTTCCTCGTGTTGTGGTGACCCCAACCATAAAATTATTTCATTGCTACTTAATAACTGTAATTTTGCTACTGTTATGAACTATAATGTAAATACCTGTGTTTTCTGATGGTCTTAGGTGACCTCTGTGATAGTGTTATTTGGCCCTAAAGTGGTCATGACCCACAGCTGAGAACCACTACTCTAGATGGAGTGTGTAATGTTGTAACTTCAAAAGAAAACACTAGACAGAGGTGAAGCAAGCACGCCACATATGCAGATGTATCCATCCTGTCCCAAGCAGTAAGGCCTGTCTCCTCAGCCACTGTCACTGGGTACCTGCCATTCAGAGTACCAAAAGCCCCACAATTTAATAAGTTATCAGGGCCCCAAGGAAGGCTCTCTCTACAATGAAGTCTGCCCCAGGCAGGGGCAACAGAGGTGACCACTTGAAGCATTAGAAATGTCAGACGGGCTGGCAGGATAGCTCAGTTGGTAAAGCACTTGCCTGGCAAACATGAGGACCTGAATTTGATTCCTAGAACATATGAAAGAGAAAAAACACGGCAGCACACTCTTAGAATCCCAGTGTTGGGGAGCTAAATATATGTAGATCCCTGGGACTCACTGGTTAGCCAGTCTACCCTACTTGGTTAGCAAAACCAAACACACACCACACATACACACACACACACACACACACACACACACACACACACACACACACACGAAACCTAGGAAAAGAAGATGAGATTCCATCTTAGTTTGTCATTCTTCAGTAGACCTTTAGGAGTGTGTCTTCCACAGAAGCCAGGGTTTGGATGGATAAAGTGTTTCCAGTCTGTTCACCAGGCTGTGGCTAAGGCCCACTGCCTGTGAGTTGCTGGCAGGTGTTGAGAATTAGTCTTCTGGATTGGCTGCTGTGTTCACTGCAGAGGAAAGAGGTATGAGGGCACCTTGGGGGAGTACAGAACTTCTCAGCTTGCCAGCGAGGCCATGCTTGCTCCCTGGGCTCTGTGCCCCTGGGGAACGGCACACCCAGCTCAATGGACAGGCTGTATAAGGCTCCCTCCTACGTGTCCCTGGTTCTTCTCAGCCCTCCAGGCTGGGAAACATTTGCCTGCAGACATCTTTTTTCCTCTCCATTGCATATGTTTTTGTGAAAGGACTAAGCAGGAGGACTTGGCAATGAATAATTCATGTGTGATTGTTTTCAAAATAGGAAGTTATTTTTCAAAGTGAGTAACCCATCTATTCATTCCTGAGACCCATTGCCTCTGGGTGCATCTGTGTGGGCAGCAGCTTTCTATCTAAACATTCGTTGCACCCCATGCTGCAAATGCTGCGACAGGTTCCTCCACAAATCTGGGCCTGGGAACACAGGCAGAGAAGAGTGCAGATGGTGTGGGATTCCCAGGAAGGCCTTGGGATTCAGCACCTCTCCTCAGTAATGGCACAACCCCTAGTCCTGCAGTCAGCACATTATGGCCTGTTCACTGTCACACACACACACACACACACACACACACACACACACACACACACACACTCATGCACACACAATCAAGGCTAGGCTCCACAAATCAGGAAGGATATAGCAGCCATCTTCCCACTATTCAGCTACAGCTCCCTGCATCCTCTTCCTGCACACGGGAAAGGAGGGTGACACCCAGATAACCTATGGCCTGTCCTTGCTCAGAGCCAAATCTAGACTGCTCAAGAGGTTCAATGTCTAGAGCTGACGGGGAAGAAGTGCCCGGAAGCTCTACACTGTGCCCGGTAGGGAAAGGAGGAGAAACTGCTTTCTGAAGCCTCTGAGCAAGATGAGGGCACATGAAAAATGACCTGTTCACACCCCTTAGTGGCCTCCTGAAACCTCCCATTTGGTGGGGGGTCACAAGATATTTGCCAAGACTCCAGCTAGCCTTCCCTGTGTTGCCAGTTAGGCCTTGTGTGAGGATCCCAGAATTCTACAACAGCAGCTCCCTCTTCGCCTGGGTGTGCACAGTCTGCTAACTCCCCATTCTTTCTCCACCCTGGTTTCCTTATTCCAACAGTGTGAGATGGTCTGTGATCAGAACCAGGTTTGAGGCCTAGCCCTGCCACCCCCAGGTCAGGTGACCAGGGCAAGCCTCTGCTTCCAGGTCTTCGTACCAGGGTTCTGAGAGGTCCTTTCTCCAAGCTGCCGACGGGGTGAAATAGAGGGTGCCATAGAGTGCGTGGCTTGTAGCTAGAGAGCGGTGTCACCTTGCGAGGGTGATGGATGGGATCCAGCCCTGTCTTATGCCTGTCCTGCAGACTCTCCTCCACCTGCCCTCTGCCCTGGGCTTTGTGCAACAACACCAGAACCATGTGACAGGCTCCCCAGATATATCTTTTCGATGTCAAGTCTCAGTGCAAGCTAAGGGGGGCACATATGACATTCAGATGAAAGTCCACAGAGCCTGGGAGCTAGTGTGCCCTAGAGTACCTGCCTCCTCCTGATGTCCCATGCCAAATGCTCCTGAGAGAGCAAGACACCCAGGAACACAACTGGCTAAGCTGATGTCTATGCCATGGCACCTGGCCTATAAACTTTTTCCAGTACTGACCAGTGTAGGTCACCATGGAAAAGACAGCACAGATTGCATGGTGTCCAGCTGGTGACCCCACCTTCCTGGGAGTGAATTTCTTAATTTTTTTTTCCTGATTTTTCCAGGTGAGGTTTCTCTGTGTAGCTTTGGAGCCTTTTCTGGAACTCACTCTATAGACCAGGATGGCCTCATCTCACAGAAGTCCGCCTGTCTCTGCCTCCCAAGTGCTGGGATTAAAGGTGTGTGCCACCACCACCAGGCTTCTGGGAGTGAATTTCAGTAAAGCTTCTACTCACGTGCAACCAGGTGTGATTTCCTCAACTAGTCGTCACAATATCCACTGTTCCAGTGTAGCTGGGCAGCAGACACACCACCTTTCCCTACAAACTTACACACCCAGCCTCCAGCAAGCTTTCAACAAGCTGTCTGTGGCTCTGTCCCCAGTGAGTTCAGCCATCCTGCTCACTGCACCATTCCGTTCTGAACCTGGAGTCTGCAACAGTTGTTGAGCAGGTCTCCAACCTCAGACCATGAATGCTGGGCGAAAAGCAAGGACTGTGTCTTCTGCCTTCTGCACTGATCCCCACCACCCCTCTGTGGGAGGCACCCTCCAGGCAGACAGCTTCTGGATTGTCCCTGTCTATCCATTGGCTCAAGGGCATCATCTTACCCACAGCAGCTCAGCCAGTGTCCCCTAGGAAGGTGGCTTTAGGACAATTCTGCCCCAGGGTTATACAAGGACACATATTTGTTCATTTGTTCCCCACCTCACGCCATGTACAAAGATGGAGCAGGAGGGTGCGTCTGTGTCAGAGTGAAAAGGGTGCAGAAGCCGAAACTCACACAAGGAGAGGTCAAACAGTGCCTGTGGGTTCCCTACCATCAGACAGCCACACAGTTTTCCTCTGTGGCTCATGGTGAAACTTGAGGGGCAATCTTATTTTCCCTTCTAAAATTGCCTTTATTGGGCTTTTGACTCCTGAAAAATGTGTGGATAAAGAGCTAGCTTATGAGACCCAGAAGCCACTGGAGAGACAAGAGAGAACTGGGTACCTTGTGTGGCAGGGCCCTGGCAAAGAGCAGTTGAACTGGCTGTGTCTGGGTGTCATACTGCCTGTACCCTTTGTTTACTCACAAGCCCCAAACAGGCCGGTGCCTCAGTGTAGGGACACAGGAGGCTGGCCACACCCTCGGCAGCCATGGGCGGGGGCATACAAGTAATAATGACTGCTGGAGACTGTGGAGGGGCAGTGGAATGTAGGGTAGACACCCTAATACCTCTGTCCCTCTTGCCCTCCTCCCTGCTAGGTCCTGGAGGAAAGTGGGATGCCTATGAATGATAGTCAATATGCAATGCTGACCTCCAAGATTGGCTACAAGAAGGAGGGCATGAGTTACCAGGACTTCACCTCAGGATTCGAAGGTAGCTAGCTGGCAGGTACTCATGTATCTTGCTATGATGGGGCCAGATGGCACCACAGACCTTTCTTGCAGTGCTATGTCACCTGCTTGCTCATGTGACAGCAACCTTATCTGAAAGGCGGAAGCCATCTTGGCCTAATCTTATCTGTGTTTCAGCCATTTCACCAAGTTAAAGAGAAATTTGGTAGCAGACTACAAACATACATGTTCCCAAGAGTGCTTCCCAGATGGTTCCCAGACCTTTAAGACTTTTCTCCATAAAACAATGATCATCTGAGGTCCGGGGATGTAGCTCAATGCATGAATTCTGGCCTGGCATGCACAAGGTCTGGGTTCAAACAAGCAATATCGGGGAAAACAACCCCCCCACACACACACCAAAAGATGGGTATACAATTAGCAGTGTCACCCACAGGTGAGTGTTCCCTCCCTCTTCACAGGTAGGGATACAGACTTTCTAGAAGAGTTAGTGATATACCCAAGACCACTCAGGCATGTCCTGCCCCAACCAGAATGGTCCTTTCAAAGTTGGGAACCAGGTTTTGTGTCATGAGGTAAGGCAGAGCCGAGTCAGCTTCCTGGCAGCTGTGCCCCCTGCTCTCTGGCAGTTGAGGGAAGACAGTATCATCTCTCAAGATTGCAGGGAAAGCTGGGCCTCTGACCATTTTAAGGTTCCAGAACTGTCACCTTCTCTCTGCCTCCACTGCCCCAGCACAGAGTCACAGGAGTTCACTTCTCATTGCTACAAGAAACCTTCAGGGTGGCTGGCTGGGCAACTCTAGTGATTCTGTGTGATAGAATAATATTTTAAAGTGTGTTACTCTTGTTTATGCTGTGGAACATTTGTTTAGTGATATAAAGATGTGTGACTTTTGTTTATGCTGCATTTGTTTAACTCTGTGAAGCTGTTACTGTGCCTGTCTAAAACACCTGGTGGTCCTAATGAGGAACTGAACGGTCAGTGGTGAGGCCGGATCCAGGATAGGCGGGGCTGGCAGGCTGGCAGGCAGAGAGTATAAATAGAAGGAGGCGTGAGGAAGGAGGAGGACATCAGGGGCCAGCTACCCAGCCAGCCACAGGAGTAAGAGTAAAAAGCCGAGGCAAAAGGTAGTTAAGAAAAGCTGACTAGAAACAAGCCAAGCTAAGGTTGGGCATTCATAAGTAAGAATAAGTCTCTGTGAGTGATTTACTTGGGGTCTGGGTGTTAGATTACTCCCCCAAATGCTAAAAGAGTAAAAAACCATTTTAACAATCTTGGGCACATGTCCCTTTCCCTGTCACTGGCTTTGAGGGGTGACTTCATTGCCTCTGGCAATGCCCCAGGCAGCACCTCTACTCACCAAGAGACAGACCCTACTTCTGTAGAGGGTGGGGAGACCCTGGGCAGCAGGGACAGCTTAAAATGCTACCACCTTCTGTCTGTCTTGACACCCTTAAAGGAAAGAATCCCTGAGACATGGTGCTGGGCAGGGTGAGTAGGTCATTTGCCTGAGGTCTGAGCTAGGAGAGTGCTGTACCTACTCTCTCTCTCTTCCTGCCTTTCCTCTCCCTCGTCCATCCATACCATTTTGAGTAGCCTGTTGTCCTCTACTAGGCCCCATAGGGCCAGCTGCTTTAGGAAGGGAAAGTCATGCTCTATGGCCTTAGGCAGGCACACAGGCAGGTTTCAGAAGGGAAGTAGACAAGGGGTTGGGCAAAGAGCTAATGGAAGTCTCCCACTTGGTATCCTTTCAGACACTAAGCTGAGTGGCCTGGAAACTGTTCCACCGCAGCCACGTACTGCCACCAAAACAAATTTAGATGACCACTTCATATCAGCTGAAGAATGTGTGAGACTCTTTCCCAAGAAGCTAAAGGAGTTGTTCCAGGTAACATGTGATCCTTACACCATAGCTTCTCTAAGTCTCTGCCCTGGTCCCCACCCCACCCCACCTCACAGCTTACACACGAGTGAGTTCTGGTGTCCAGTCAGACCCAGCAGCTCCAGGGGACACACAGAGACAGGGACTGGCCTGCTGGAATGCCTAGTCAACACTGATGGTAGAAATCAGGAGCCCCTCTTCTCAGGGGGCGTGGCTACCCATGGGAAAACAGTGGGCTCAGGATCCTGCACACACCCACTTGCATTTATTCACTCACTAAACACATATTGCATGTTCACTGCATGCCCGTGTCTGTACTACATGTATGAGTACCCTGCCTGGAGTCTTCTCTTGTCTAAGACACAGACAGTGAGTGGCTATTCATCCACATTGTGGCTGGCTGCTGAGGGAGACCTAGTAATGTGGGTCAAGGCAGAGCCCTTTAAGGTAGACTACTCAGAGGAGGAAGGGGACCCCTGCTCCAACTCTGGAGCCCAAATCAAATGCTTGATCTTCACCCCGATCACCTGTCTGGCAAGGACAATTGTACCAGCATGCCAGTGTCTGTGTCTCTGCAGGTCCTGGCTTTTGCACCTACATCCCATCCCTTTAAACAGCAAGCATGATGAAGCAGGCCTGCAGGAAGATGACACATTACCTTTCTACACTCCATTTTCCACTGCGTAGTCTGCATCTAACTTTGCAGGGTGCTCCGTCCACATGTCTCTGGTCATTCACCTGCTTCACTCGGACTGCTTGCTCTAGTTCAGCTCGGCCATGGCCCCCATCTCATCTGTATACTTTCTGTTCCCTTCCTGGGAAACCCCTCCTTTACCTTGGGACAGCTTTGACTGCCTCATCTTCCTCCTTAAGCCTTCACATGAGCCACATGGATCTGCTGGCCCTCAGAGTACCCAGCCTATATACTGTTGTAAGCTGCTTGATCCAGAATCCCCGTCATTCCTTCACCACCCCCCAAAGTACCCCAAATGGCTGCCACCTGCTTGCCACATGGAGATCAGTGCTTAGTTGGTGAATAAGTGAAGTTTCACATCATGTGCCAGGTGGTGAATGCATGTATTTGTTTTAATCTCCACCCACCCTACCAAGTGAATTGAGGAAAATGATGGTCAGAGATGGAGAGAAAGTTACCCAAAGCCCGACATCTATTGAGTGCAATAGCTGGGATCTGGAGTGCATCTGTTCAGGTGTAAGGTCTGTGTGGTGATACTTGGGGTTGTCATGCTGGAGAAGGGACTGCTGATATGAGGGGTGGGCTAAAGTTTGTACACGTGGGAGGATTATAGGCACCAGGTCCTCAATGTACCTGCAGCACAGCAGTGAAGGCTGGTGGGACACTGGTCTCACCCTTGGCTGCTGTGTTGCGTGTCACATTGGAGTGCTATTACTTGCTTCCTCTCCAGCACTATGAGAGGGCCATATGTCAAGGGCTGTGTTTCTGCTGCACCCAGAGGGGAGTTAGCATCTGACAGGTACCCAGAGCATATTCTTAGCCCTGTTTATCCAACAAGCTTTATCGTACATGACTGTCGGGCATTGCTCTGGGAGCTGGGGCTTGAGCCAGACAGATGGAAGCACAAGTCGGCCTGCAGGCAGAGGCAAGGAGTGAGAAGTAGCTTTGCAGGCACTGTGACTGTAGAGGAAGGGCTCATTGACATGGTCCAAGGCAGTCCTGGGCGTCAGAGAGCAGCAGGGGGAAGGTGGGAAGAGATGGGTTTCATAAATTGGGCTCTTTACAAAGGAGACACAGAGCACAGGGGATGGGCAGCATGAATGGTCAGAGTACAGAGATAATCTGATGTAGACTAGATGGAGTTAGATTCCTGAGGGATGGGCCTTTAGGTGGGATTGAAGCAGTTAGGTTTAAGGGCAGGTTCCACATACAGGGGACAGGGGGAATGTGTGACACATTGATTCCTGAGACAGGACTCTGACTCTGAAAATTTAGTCTGAGTAATTAGTAAGAACAAGCTACCTTCTACTGAGCCAGAAGCCTGCAAGGATTGGGCAGGAGGTTTGCGTTTGGCCTTGTTCAGTCTGAACATCGGAGCATCTGAGTATGAGAAGCCTCAGAGCCAGACTTAGAGGGAACCAGTGAATGGATGGGTCTGCAGCCCACTGAGCACCCACCACCACCAGAGCACCATCTCCTCTGGCTGGCAGTGACTCTGAGGCAGTACCAGAGTCATCTAAACAAATCCCCCATGGGGTTCAGCACAGCATAGTAATGTTTGGTGACTGAATCCGTGAACAAGCTCAGCTAGAACTTTCCACAAAATCCCAGGGCATCTAATTAGACACTAACATGGAACAACTCAACATGGAACAGTTCTGAACAACTGTTACTGGGGAGCTGTAGAATGAGGGGGTCGGGGTCGTGCCTTCAAGACCCCAGACAGGTTCCCAGGGAAGAGCTGTGTGAGGGACCCACAGACACAAGGGTACTAAAACCATGCCAACAGTGTCACAAGCCAGATGTACAATGCACACGGTGGCCATAATGCAGGTGTTGGCCCAGAAAGAGGCTCATGATTGCTGTCTGACTTCAGGTGACAAACAGCATTTTAGGACACTCAGAAAACATGCCAAGTGACCTCTAAAGTGTGGCACATTCTTTTGCAATTTTATAGATGAAGGAACAAAGGGTGTCAAGGTCAGATGCCTTGCCCAAAGTCACACTGGTAGTAAGAGGGTGTGCAAGTAGTCTGCTAAGGGATATACCAGCAGTTAAGTCACGAGTTCCCCATGCCCCTTGAACCTGTTTCTTCATATGCAAAGTAGGAATCATGGAGCCTCTGGGCAGCACCATGGACAGAGCAACGCTTGTGCCCAGCCTTCCAGACACCTGAGGCTCCTGGGTGTGAAACCTGGCCTGGAATTTGCCTATCTGGAAAGAGAAGTGGCCAGACATCCCAAACACTCCAGGAAGCAGGGAGAGCTTTAAATTCTCTAGGAAGCCCCACCCACTTTCCTCAGCCCACATACAGGTACAGGACTTGCAGGTGTCCTAAGCTGTCCACACTCTCCAACTCTCCAAGTTTTTTGGCATCCAGGGCCAGGAAGCCAGGGGCAGAAGGGTCTCCAGGAGCCAACTTGGAACCCGTGTCCCTGCAGGTGGTGGCTGTGAGTGGCAAGTGGTCATGGAAGGGAAGTGCATTGATGTGTGCATTTTGTTTCTAGGACCCCTACTCTGCCTTCTTTAAAGTAGACACTGACATGGATGGCATAATCAACATGCATGATCTTCACAGATTGCTACAGCAGCTACAGCTCAACATGAAGGACAGCGAGTATGAGCGCTTCCTCGGCCTCCTGGGCTTGAGATTTAGCGTCACTCTAAACTTCCGAGAGTTTCAGAACCTGTGTGAGAAGAGACCCTGGAGATCAGATGAGGCACCTCAAAGGCTCATTAGGTGAGATGGTGGTATGTGGTCAGAGCCATTGATGTGTGCCAGCCTCTCAACCTGGAAGACCAGTGGAACACAAAAATTACCCTGGAGCCATCTTTTTTCCCCTGAGTTTAAGAACACACTCACACACACACACACACACACACACAGGAACATATGCACACACACATCACATGGTAGATGGAACAATCAGATAAGACATGCAAGGTTCCAGCATGGGGTGTGGCTTTATAGCTCGCTGCTTATTGTTCCAGGCTTTTTCTCATACATGTAAATGCACACACATACTTAACTGTCCATTTCTCTGCCTGGAGTCAGATGTGTGCTAACATTGGCAACCCTTGGACACACTCTGTTGTCTGAGGCCATGGAAGGGTGGGGTGTGGGTGCTTCACAGAAACAAGGTTCACAGAAATAAGGCATCAAACAAGATGACCCTGTCTCCTCAGCTCTAGATATCCATCTTGGCCATGTTTGGATGTTTAGAAAGGCACAAAGCCATCCAAGGCAGTTTCTCAGGAGATGCAGGGGCCTTCTTCCAGCCTGTCACAAACAGTGATGCCTCTACACCCCTGCCTGACCCACAAGGCCTCATCCTGGCCAGGAGAGTCTCAGTGTCCACTCAGGCTTCCCTGTTGGTCTTTCTGATATTCCTGAGATTATAGTAAGTGGGCTGCCACCCAAGAGACACCTGTCACAGAAGCACCTAATGACACCTGAGGAAATCTGGCCTTTGAGCAGAGTAGCTGGTCTGTCCTGGACAATTACTGCATCGTCCTTTTAAAACGTGTGTTTCTGTCTATGCACATGATGGGTGTGCGTGTGTATGCATGTGCACACAAGTGTGTGGAGGTCAGAGTTCAGCATCAGAAGTCAACTCCAGGTGTTCTTGGGGAGCCATCCACCTTACACTTCTCACTGAGATGTGGGGTTCACTTGGCTAGACTGGCTGACCATTGAGCCCCAGAAATCCTCCTTGTCTCCACCTTCCTAGCATTCGATTGCAAGCATGTACTAACACACCTAGGTTTTTACCTGGGTGCTGGGGTTTAAACTTGGGTGCTTATGCTTATAAGGTGAGTACTTACAGACATCTTCCCAGTGCATTATTCTTGACCCACTGAGGGGGCTACAGACCATCATACCTCTTATCTGGGCACATGAAGCTGCCAGAGGTGTGGCCCTGATAACATTTAACAAAGCTACAAAAAGGCCTTTGATCATGTACTTGTTTAATTTTCCCTGGATTTATGGGTTTTATTGCAATTATTACGGGGGGGGGGGAGCTAAGAAAATGGCTTTAATCCCTTCCTAAGCACAAGGATCACATGACACATGTGAGGGGTGCCTATGTTCCTCGCTTGGATTCTAGAGGGTGTTCGTGTGAGAGTAATTGTTTAACATTGAAATGGAACCAAAATAATCCTCCCAGGCAGAAAAAAGATGGCTCAGTTGTTAGGAGTATTGGCTGCTCACACAGAGGACCTGAGATAGGCTCGTAGGCTCATAATCACATTCATCTGTAGCTCCAGGGGATTCCATATCTTGTCCTGACCTCCATGGGGCACCTGTACACACACACACACACACACACACACACACACACACACACACAATTAAAAATAAATTTTGAGGGGCTGGAGAGATTAAGACCCTGTCCCAGAGGACCTGATTTTGGTTGTCAGTTACCCACATTAGGTAGGTAGCTCACAATTACCTGTAACTGCAGCTCTAGGGAGATATGACATCTCTGGCCTGTCTGTGCACCTGGGCACTCATGTAAACTTAGCACAGACACCTGCTCACACAGATGTATAATTTTAAAGAATAATAATAAAAATACTTCCAAAGAGTACTTTGAGAATGTGTACAGAATGAGTATAGAAAATGTCAACACATCATAGACTTTGTCTTGTTCACATCTGTTCAAAGGACTAGCTCAGTGCTGGGCACTGTTCTGAGCCTTAGTGGTACAGATGTGAACAGGGTTCACTGCTGCATCAGGAGCTGAGGCTGGAAGATGAGACGACACAGAAGTAAAGTGCCACACTGGAGCACAGGGAGGGTCCACACAGGTGTCCAGAAGAAGTGGGTCACTTGCCTGGGTCTTGGCTCGTTCCATTGATAGATGGTGGTTCAAGGCCAGAGGACAACATTGGCAGAAATCACAGAGCAGAAGCACCAGGCACATTCAGAAGATGCCGGTGGAGGTGCAGCTGGGATGTGGTAGGGAGGAGTCATGGGGCCAGAGCATGAAGCAGCCCCACACAGGTAGCAGTTTCCTTTTCCAGCAGCTAGGTACATTTTATGTGCTATGGGATGAAGGGATCAGAATGTATCCCCCAGAGTGGAGGATGAACTCAGGGAGTAGAGGCTGGATCCTAGTGGCATATGAACCAGGAGTCTGGGAGAGACATCTCTGAGACCAGGAGCATGACATGGCTTTAGAGAGTACTGTCGTCCTGGACAGATCAGCACTGTGATCCATGAGACATCATGGGCCCTATCAGGAGGCATATCCGTCTGGCCTTAGAGAGGAAGGAACTGGGTCTCAGAGAAGAGCTAGTGATGTGTCCCTAAGGACCACAGGAGAGGTAGAGGGTAGGGAGGAGCACTGGTGTCTCCTGGCAGCCTTGCCCTTTCCACAAAGCCACCTGTTTCTAGAAACCGTCTGTCCCCTTGGTTGGGCCCAGCGTGCTACAGACCTTCACTGCCCCTTGACTTTGAGAGTTTGTTGCTCTGTGAAAGAGATAGCCTCTTGTTTGCTTCATTGTTACAAACACAGGTTTTCCCTTTGTGGTCCCTCCTTGGGGCTGAGTGGGATGGAGAGTGTTTACCACCCAGACCCCACTCCTAGTCACTGGAAACACACTGAGGCAGGAGACTTGTATAGCTCCTGAGAAGGCAGGTACTTGTATAGCGTTGAGAAAGAGGGTGGGACTTCTGGATGGGGTGAGATGTAAGGGCCAATGATATTTTGCCAAGCCTCAGTAGCTGGGCAGAGGCAGTTTTGCTGAGTCACTTCTATGTGGAAGTGATAAGCCAAAGACAGGTTGCCAAACTCTAGCCAGGCTCAGAAAGGTCCACTAGACCTTATGTCCGGGCCTTTTTAGGCCCAAGGGGATCAACACAGTGAGCCTGCCAGGTCTCCATTTGCCTTTAAAAATGCCATTCAATGTGTGTGTGCAATTTGGCTCCTGTGAGCTGTGTCCCCCATAGGGCTGGCTGGTCTACCTCTGTCCAATTGCATTGAAGCTCCTTCCTGTCTCACCTCTAGTCCATAATCATCTGAGAGTTGGGCATAAACAGTAACCCAAAGCCATAGAGGGGTGGTAGAGACCTCTTAAAGGCACAATGGAACTCTGGGCTCTGCAATGAGAAACTAGGACAAGTTCATGAGGATGCCTGTCAGCATCCCTCTCTGCTGGGGAGATTATCAGCTCTCTTCTTAAAATATTTACCTCTATGTATGCTACATGTGTGTGGGTGCCCATGGAAGAGAGCAGGGTGTTGGGTCCCCTGAAGCTAGAATTGCAGGCAGTTGTGTAAGCTGCCTGATACTGATGCTGGGACTCTCTTCTTCCACCTCCCACCCGCCTTCCTCCCCTGTTTCTTTACTTAGAATGTGCATGTACCCAGCCTTCTGCAGGCTCACCCTTTTCTCCTGGGCAAGTCTTTGGGCTACCAGACACTGTAGGATCTCACAGTTTCAGTATTTCACTCATGGGTGTATCTTTTACCTTGATAGTTTTTGAGATTTTCTTTTTTATTTTTATTTATTTTTTGGTTAATAATAGAATGTTGAGTCATATCCTGGGCAAATGCAGCATTTCATTATGATACTCTGGGCCTGTTAGACTCCTCCATGCTTGTTTACTGGTCAGCCTGTCTCAGTAGGCAGTTGACTCCCTTTGTCTCTTTAGCCTGAGAGCCCTGACCTTCCTCCTGGAGCTACTGGATTCATTCAGCTATACAAGCCATTACAGCATTCCTCCAGGGGCACTGCTATGTACCCAGGCTCAGGCCAAGTGGCAGTGTCAACTCCCAGAGCCACTGCTAGACCACCAGCTGACATCAGAGATAGATCTGGACTTCTGACATCAGTGTGGGGCCCTTCTCCTAGATCACTCCCCTCTCTGACTCTACCTGCTCTCTCCTGCTGAGGGACTAATTTCTGACTAGAAAATCTTAGGCTTGAGCCTTTAGTGTGATATGAGAAAAGAGAGAGAGGGAAAAGGAGAGATGGAGGAGGGGGGATGACAAGAATTGCATCTAGGCCTCTCAAGGCCCAGGGGTTCCCTGAGCCTTCACAGTACTTGTGAGCTATTCCCTGCTTAAGCCTTCCCTCCATTTCTGGAGACAACTGTCTCTGAGGTAATTTGATTACTTTTGTCTGGCGTATGTATTAAGTCATAGTGTCTGCTCCTTGAGGATGTAGACTGAAGGTGCCAGGCCTGTACATGTTTGCTGTGGTTGACTGGAGGAAGGCTAGTGTGACAATTGTCAGAATCTAAGGAGTCAAGGGACAAGAAAGGAATGGGTCATTGCTGGAAGAGGCCAGGCAGAAACAGGATCAATCTACAGGGAGAGGAGGCATGACTATAAAAGCCTGAACCTGGGTAGCTATGTGATGATGGAGGCCTAGAACCTGAAAGAGCAGCAGGGTGGTGTACAGCTGCTTGGGGGGATGTGATAGGGCTGAGGGAGTCTGTGTCCCAAGGTCCAGGAAAGTTCTCTGAATTAAGAATCTAAAGGTGACAGCAGGGAATGTCCCTGTGAGCAATCAGTATCTATAATGGTCAGCAAGCTTGTATCTTCCCATGCTACCACAATCTATTAGTGGTCCTGAGTTTACAAGCTGCCTTAGTTTTACCAAGTACTTCTCATTTCATTTGATTCCTGTGGTCATTGATGACACAAGATCTTGTCATCCACTCATTTTTCATATAGGTTTTTGGTTTTATTGACTTGAGACAAAGTCTCTTTGCATAGCCCAAGCTGGCCTGAGAACTCACACAATTTTCCTCTCTCTACTCCTGAGAGCTGAGGCATATACCACCATGCCCAGCTTATATATTTTAGTCTCAGTAACTCTCAGCCCCCAGTCAGTCATCTATATATACAGGCTACAGAGTGTCTTCAAAAGGGCTAGAGTTCAAAGGGCTGTACTGGAGGCCAGGATCCCATGCAGATGTAGAGGATGTGTCTGTAGGAGACAGCTCAGAATTCTATAGCCTCCAGCACAAGGCTATCCAGAGCACAAAGTTGCCAAGTGCAGGTCAGCATGGCACCTTCTTCTGAGTGACAATTGAAAGTGAACTATGTGTCACTGCATGAGAATCTGTACCTAAGCTGGAGTCCAGGGACAGAGATGGGGTCCTTCCCCATAACAGTTTTCCTGGGTGACCAGGTGGTGGGTCTCTTGCCCGCCCCGTCTCATCTTAAGGTACTCCTTCTTTGATTGGCCAAGGTGAGGGGCTATGTCTGGCAGGGCAGATAAGCTCCCATACCTGGCATTCCTGATAGGGTCCCACCTATGCACAGGCTGTTATTTATTGGCACAGATAAATTATTTACCAGTTTGTGGCTCCCGCTGTGCTGGCAGATGGCAGTTGTTTACTTGTGTAAACAAGATGCAGCCTTGTTCCATCCCAGTGCTTAAAGAAACTCAGGCCAGAACGCTGCTCTCAAGAATGGAGTCACAGAGGGCAAGGCCACCCAAATCTACTGCTCTGCACAGTGTGGGGTCACCCCGGGAGGCCTCTGCTCCTCAGCACCTCACTGGGATTCCATCCTTCCAAGCCAGTGGAGAAAAAAAAAATCACAGGATCCTGACAGCCTTACCAGGTCCCCCACAGATGCCACAGCCACAGGGACCTGGGTGGCTGAACAGCGGATCCTTTCCCACCCTTGAAGTTCCGTGATTCTGAGGAGTCCAGTAGGCAGTTGGAGAGAAATGGCGAAGAAACATGGGTGAGGCCAGTCATTCACAGAATTGCTCTGTGGGTAGAGGGGGTGTAGCCAGGGATACCAGAAATATTAAATGGGAAAGGCAAGAAGGGGTCAAACCAGGAGGCAGGTAGAAAGGGCCCAGGGCAAGGCATGGGTCCTGGAGGCCAAAGGCCTCAGTTGTTCATAGTTTCCTGATCTGGTAGACAGGACAGCTCCCTCTCCAGCCATAGCCACCACTGTGCCTCAGGCAGACCTGTCCAGGGCCAGCAGCACAAGGTCTTTTTAAGCTCTCTTAAGTGTCCCTCATCTGTAAGTAAATACAATAGAATTGTGATAATCTGTTAATCCTATAAACTTAAGCCTTGAAAATTAGTGGTGGTGGGCATGGGGGTGTCTCAGCTGTTGGGAATATGCCCTGCTCTTACAGAGGCCCCATGTTCAATTCCCACCAATGCTCACAACTGCCTGCAGCCCAGCTCTTCTGAGGGCATCTACACTCGCGTACTTACTGTGTCCTTCCCATATATACACAGCATATTTAGAAATGATAAAAGAAGTCTTGAAAAGGAGAAGTAGCTGGGGCTGGGGAGGGACCTCCATGCTTGCTAATTGCACCTTTGCTGACTTAAGTCTGTTCTTCTACCTGAACTTGCAAAATCAGAAAGAAACATTGCTAGCTGCTCCCTTCCTAAGACACTTAATGTAGTATTATACATATATTCTGCTTTCCCAAACCCCCAGGGAAGAAACAGACCCTGTGAGCTTCATATGCTAGGGAAAAAATGATTTTTCTTAAATCTGAAAATAAAGTTCCCAAAGACCCCCTGCCATGCAGCTGGGAGAAATAATGTGTTGTAAGAACTGTTAGTCTAGATGTGAAATCACAGACTTTCATGGTATCTTTGATGCACCGAGGGTGAGGATGGGGGGCCCTTGGGAAGATCCTAAGCCTATCACTTCTAAACACAGTTGTTTATTCTTTTAAGATATAAACAGAAAGTTGCAGATTCCGAGCTAGCCTGTGAGCAGGCCCATCAGTACCTCACCATCAAAGCCAAAACCAGATGGGCGGACCTGTCCAAGGTAAGGAAGGGGAAGGGAGGCAGAGCCATGCAGAGAAAGGGAGATAGCACCAGGTACCCATGATGTTGGCCCCTGCCTCTCTTCAAAGACTTTCCCCAATACTCTGAATGGTCTTGGCTTTGTCTCTGATCAAAACACCATCATTGACTGCAATTATAAAGTTATTTGGATATTTCTATTATTGTTGAATACTAGAGATGTATAGCTATAAAGACTATATACTTTTAACAACTAAGGAAAGTGAAACCTAAGAAGGCATTCTATTTTTGAAACATTAATGTTATCAAAGATGCTTAAAGATACAATAAAGGGCTGGTAAGATGGCTCAACAGGTAGAGGAACTTGCTGCAAAGCCAGAAGACCTGAGTTCAATACCCAGAACCCTTGTAGTAGAAGGGGAGAACTGACTCTTGCAAGTGGTCCTTTGACCTCCACACATGCACTGTGGGATGTGAATATGCACACAGAGATACAGAGGAAAGAAGTTGCTCATGGTGGCATGTGCCTGTCAGCCTAGCATTTTTGAAGCCAAAGTGGTGAGACCACTGTGAGTTCACTGGCAGACTGAGACGACATAGAAGACCGTGTCTCAGAACACCAAAAGAAAACTCAGGTACAGTGGCTCACGCTTGCCATTTCAGCTCTAGGAAGGTGGAGGTAAGGGAATCAGGAGTTCAAGGTCAGCCTCAGCTACTGCTGAGAGGAAGGCAGGGGGAGACAGATTAATTTTATGATTTTCAAATGTTTAATTTGTTTTATTCATCTAAGATAGTATATCTTTCAAGAATTAATCATTTTAATTTCATGAAGAGCACCAACCTAAAAACATCATCTAGGGGAAAATCTGAGAGAGTGTCACCAGCGATTTTGCACAGCCACCAGCAGGCATCTGAAGAGCTGTTTTATCCCATCTTGAAAGGGTGACAGAAAGTGTGCTTCCAAGGCATGTGACCCCCATGAGCAAGCTCATAAGTTGTGTCACTGACAATGACAGTGACAGCTAAACCACGGGACAGTAGGACAGAATGATTAGGGTAGGTTCTTCCTGACTCTAGAATGTGGAGTCAACAAGGACACAGTGGCCTCGCTCTAGAAAAGGAGGGTCATGATTGCATGCTAGAGTGTCTTCTCACTGTTTCTGAGGGCCTTGTAAGGTCATTTGCCCTCCCATTGGCTCTTTTTTTGGCTCCTGCTTAGTGCAGAGCTCTGTTGGATTCTCTCAAGCCTAGGCTTACTTCTCCCCACAGTGTCCTCAGTACTGGCTGTGGCCCAAAGAGGCAGGCTGTACCCTCCTTTCTCTCCCTCCTCCCTGCTCTCTAAGAGTTGCCCATTTCCTCCTCCTGTGGCAATTCTGCTCTTGGTGGGCAACCCCTGGGTCCTCATGGCCAGGTACAGTTGCCAGCTCTGTGGTTGTTCTAGCTGTCTCTTGTCTGGTTAAGGATGCTCCCTCCTGATCCTGGTTTGCTGAGAGGTATTGTCATCAGTGAGGGTCAGGTTTTGTCACGTGCTTCTGCAGTGGTTGAGATGATCAAGTGACTGTTTTCCCCTCTGTCCATGTGATGGATCACAGTGGCGGATTTTCAAGCATTGACCCTGCCTTGTACAGTGAATCCCACATAGCCAAGGCATCCAGTTCCTACCAGTGGTTGGTTCAGTTTGCTGGTACATGCTTGCCCTCAGAAGTGATGGATCTGAAGTTGACTTGTCCCACGTTGTCTAAATGCTAGGCTCACAGCATGAGGGAGGAAGGGTCCTTCTGTCTTCCTGGCATCTTGGGGTTTCTGTGCACACATCTCTGCTCTGACAAGTTGCACCTGTGTGTCTCCAGCAATAGGCAGCGGCTTGCCCTTGGGCCTCACTCCTCTTACACAGCTAACCGCCGGTGGTGCTTATTTGCTCAGGTGTCCAAATGCTTTTGGGACAGTGCACTGCCTTCCAGGACTCCTGCATACCAGTCCTAAGGTAGAACCCACTGCTGTTAGCTTGGTTATATTTAAGCCGTGATTCCTCTGAGGTGGGACATGTAGAATGCAAATATGTCATTTAAAGAGAATTAAAGGAATTACCATGCAGCCTTCATTTGGATGGAGGGGAAGAATACTATCATGCTGGCAGCCAGCACTCTTCTGCAAAGACCAGACAGGACACATTTTGGGTATTGTGTCCCCCCCTTCACTCCCACCTGCAGCACTGTGCCCCCACATGGGAGCTTTCCATCCCAGCGGGTGTACGATGATCTCCTTTGTTGCTGATTAATGAGAGTGCTCATCTTTTCACTAATCCGGCATCCTGCGAAATGCTTCCTGGGGTCCTTTTGTTCTGCCCTGCTGTGATTCTGGTGAAGACCTTCTCCCATTCTCCTGGAGGAATCAACAGTTCAGGTCCAGCTGTGCACTTTATGGGAGGCATGCCCACCTTCTCCTCTGCATGGTGACCAGGTGTCCCTGTATTTCATTTTCAAGTCCACCTTTACCTCACTGCCCTGCAGCTCCAGATCTGCCCTCCACTCCTCCCACAGAGCCTCTGAACACCTCATCTGACTAGCAGTCAGTTTGTCTGTCCTGGCTCCAGTTCTACACCTTTCTATTTGCTGTAACTTGGGAAAATGCACCTTAATCATTTCTTTTTGTTGTTGTTGTTGTTGTGGGTGAGGTTGAATTCAGGTCTTAGTGAATGGGAGGCAGGTGCCACTCTGCTGAACTGCCCTCCAGTCCTCACAGATACATCCTGTCTGGCTAGTGGGCAACGCCATGTTCTTGAAGAGTGTTTTAAAACCATTTTTCCAAGTTCCATTAAAAAAACATTAGAGGTTGGGGAGATAGCTCAGCTGATAATCCGAGTAACAGATGTAGTGCACACCTTTAATCCCAGCACTCAGGAAGCAGAGGCAGGTGAGTGTCTAGGAGTTTGAAACCAAACTGGTCTAGGCCTGAGTTTGATCTCTAGGACCCACATTTTAAAAAGCCAGACATGGTGGCCCATGTTGGTAATCTCATTGCTTGCCGGGGGGGGGGGGTGAAGACAGGAAGGGTCCCTGGGGTTTGCAGTCTTTCCTGGGGCTGAATCAGTGAGCCCCATATCTCAGTCACAAAAACTGAGGCAGGCATTGCCTGAGGCATGGCACCTGAGCTTATCCTCTGGCCTCTCACACCTCCATATCCCAACATTCCCCACCTCAGAAACAAAAACACTAAACACACAGAGAAGTACTTTAGAGTGTTCCAGAAGCTGTCGACAGTTCTCTGTTCTTCTTGTGACTGAATACCATCTTCCATTGTAGAATTTCATAGAAACAGACAATGAGGGCAATGGCATTCTCCGGCGAAGGGACATCAAGAATGCACTGTATGGCTTTGACATCCCCCTCACCCCGAGGGAATTTGAGAAGCTTTGGCAAAAGTAAGTGCATCTGCAGTGGTGGAGGGGGGGGGGGATCTGTGTGTCTGGCCAATTCAGTGCAGTTTCCACCAGGGTTTCAGGGCAAATGAGCTGGGATGGGTTTTTCTTTTTGGCTGCATCTGATCCTGTGTCCTGTGTCCTCATTCCTGGTAGAAAGTAGCTGTGGTTGTGGGTGTACACGCTGGTCCTCAGGCCTCTGAAGAACTGGGTAGTCCCCAGCAGCAGTACTGAGTGGAGATGTTTAAATAGTCATAGTTCAAGCTCCTGGTTTCTCTGCAGCAGAGAAAAAAATCACAGTCCCACCAACAATCAGGGAACTCCTTCAGCATAGATGACAAAGGTGAAGGCAGTCTGCCCATGCCTAGGGGGTGGCAGTCTATGCTCACAAGCTGTTTATCGAGGAAATCAGCAAACCTTGACAACTTGGAGCATTTTTCTGGGGTGGGGAGGGGGGCTCTTAAACTGGAATAGGATCTGATGCAAGAGCCATTTTTCAAATCATTTTAGGCTTAGCTGATTTGAACCAGGCCCCTGTGTTGATGCCTTACTTTCCAGGATGCTAACATTGTAGTGTGCTCTGAGCTTACAGTACAGTGAGCTATGACCTCTGGTTCCAGCTTTGAATGACCTCTTTCTTCAGTACATGTTCACCCTCAGGTCCCCAAGATGTATGCACCAGCATCGCAAGTCCACTTGGGGTCATGCTCATTGAATGCTGTATTCCTTTTTTCAGCTTTTCACCTGCCCACGGTGGAAGATTTAAATGCAGATTGAGTAGAATTGGGTGGTCTGTTTTCTGCCTAACTGACAAATGCAGCTTGGAGTTACTACTATCTGGGAGGCTGGTACTTCATGTGTTCATGGGGGAAAGGTAGAGAGCTCTTGGTGGTGTCTGCCCGTGGGATATATCCTCAAGAAGGGGCCATTCAAGTGCAGGAGTATCCAGGACTGTGTGCCTTAAGTATCGGATGAAGGCAGAAATTCGGATTGCATTCAAGGAACAGACACAAACATGTCAGAAGGTTTGGAAGCCTAAGGGGATCACAATGTTCCTTGGGGACCAGGAGCCAGAGGAAAAGCTGAGGAAGGAGAGCTACAACAGTGATCCCCAAATTTCACCCCAGTGTCAGGGTTCAGAGCAAATCAGGGCATCTCTTACAGATCATAAAACTGTCTCCACCACCACAAGAGCCATATCTAGGTGCTGCCACAGAAGCTGCTAGAGTTAGGAGCCGCCACCACTGACCCAGCAGTTGGTCTGGATATTCTTGGAATAGCAGGGTGGGACACAGAGGTCCTGCAGAAGGATGAACGAGGGGAACCACCGAGTGGGTGTCACTTTTCAGGACAGCTGCTGCTGGAAGATAGTAGGGCTTTCAGAAAGGAAGTGTTGTGGCCACTCAATGACAACTGAATTGCATGAATGCCTGGTTGCAGTCAACCTTGTCCTGAGGACCAAGAGACCAGTAGGAAAACAATCTGGACAGACCCACATTCTAGAAACCTCCTGGGCTGCAAGGAGGAAGGGAATTGCAGGAGGCCAACCTGGAGCTCAGAGGCCAACAGAGGCTCTTGGTTCTAAGCAGGAGGAGACTGTGTGCTCTCCAGAAGGAGACAGGAAGGAAGGAGATAAGGGTTGAGGAGTCCAGTACCAGCCTGGAAGTGAGATAGTATGAAAAGACAGCCGCTCCCAGGATGTGACGGACAGAGCAGCCCACACACTTAGCCATGGACCTGGGGTCCACCAGGGACAGTGCAGGGCACTGTGCAGTGCATGTGGAGAACACAAGGCATCTGCAGGCAGAACAGCTAGCCCAATGGAAATCCAGATTAGAAAGGTCTGCTTGTTCAGGTGAGCTCAAGGAGAGCAGACAGCAGGCATGTAGACTGGATGTGGCCTCTTTATCCCATAGCTTTCTGCTCCCTGCAGCTTCTTCCAGAGCTGCAGATGAAAACAAGCCAGCTCTGCACTTTTGCAAGGGGGGGGGGCGGAGGACTATGAGCAGTGCAGAGGCCCCCTCAGGAGTTCTCAGGGCATCAACAGCCTCCTCCAGCTATCCCAACACTAGCTTGTACCCAGAAACACAGTGAGACAGGGCTGACTGATAATGTAAGGGAGGCAGTGTAAACAGGGCCTGGGACCTCTGGAGTAGCTTGGGCCCACATGATGCCTTCCAGCTCAAGGAGTGTGGATGTGTCCAAATGATTCTGCCAGAACAAAGAGGAAAGTGGTGTGGGTCTTCTGAAAACCAGACAATTGGAGAATACAACAGATCCAGCCAGGAAAGGCTTTCAGCATCCATTATTCACTCAACACTTACTTGAGCCTATGAAGGGCACTTCCTAGCCTGGAAGGATGTGGTTTATGTTATGGAGATAAATTAATAAACTGACCCCAAATCTCAGTGCTCAAGCTCCTCCATATCCCCCTCTTTACCCAAACTCCACAGTGTACCTGGCTCTCGAGGACATCTCCTTCCCAGGAAGTGAGGAAGGCTCAGCCAGCTTTCAGGGGCAGCTTCAGCATCTCTGTGGGTGCTCGCCTAGCAGATGGGTCACACATGGTCCCTTCTCGTTGCCAGACCTGGCACACAGGGATCAGGCTGCTTATCAGGGTTGACAAACAAAGGACTGCTGCCCACTGAAACCAGCTCTGGAGCTGTGAGCTTGAGCTCCCAGGAGCAGCCTGCGTGAATAGACTCCGGGGAGCTGCTGAGGTGTGCTCACCTTCAGTCACACAGAGGCTCTATCTGGCTCCTGAAGTTCCCAGCCAAAAGGCAGATTTGCCCCTGTGTCCATGCAGCAGCTCTAGGACAGTACACTTCAGCTGAGTCTAAACTGGCAGCCATTGAACCCAAGAAGCTGAGGGTAGGGGAAGGGTATTCATGAGCAGAGCTTTTGGAAGGAGCTGAGAATGTGCCACTTACATGGGAAAAAACTAAGACTTCAGCCTGTCCAGGGCCCACAGGGTGGGGTGGGGCAGGGCAGGGCCTCCCCTGGAGCCACACTGGCATTCTGAGGCATCTAAGGCCTCATCCCATCAGGTGGGACTCAGCTGACTTAAATCCAAAAGCAATTTCTTGGGATCTGAAGAAACCTGGTGGATGTTCTGTTATGGTAGAAGAGTACAGTAGGAAAGCTGCCAAGTCAGAAGTTCTGTGGTGACCAGCAGATGTGGAGACCAACGGGTGTGGAAGACAACCAGCAGGTGTGGAGACCAGCCAGAAGGCCCCACCTGGGAGCTGGTTTATGCTCAGTTCTGACAGGGCCCTATGTTGGGACTTGTATAAAAGAATGGTTTACAGTATCGTGCTGTGTGCCAGTATTCAAACCTAACCAAGAACTCTGAAACAGAAGCCAGGCTGTAGGCCGTCACTCCTGTTCTTCATTAACAGGAAATGAGGTCGCTCCTGTCATCACTGATGGCAGAGTGAAACCCAGATACCCTGTGTAGATATCAACTGGGTGATGTCTGGACAGAGTGCCTCAAGATGGAGAGGCTGCCTGAGCATGGCCTGCAGCTTAGGAAAGAGGATTGGCTGGGGCAGAAACGTGTCACCCACAAGACTCAGTATGGAAACCTTGCCACGGGCTGGAACAATGAAGAACTCCAGTGGGGACAAATGGAGCCTGTGTCCTATGGCTCTCCACAGAGCTAAAGCACTATAGCCAGGACAGCAGAGGAAGTGGCCTGGCACAGGCTGCCTCATAGCCTGCAGCTCTGTCAGTATTTACTAAATGTGCCCAATGGGCACCAGCATGGAAAGTTGGCCACTTTTCATTCTGAGGAGTGACTGTTTAAGCCATCAACTCTCCAAGATGGCTCCATAGAGAATTCCTCCCATTCTAGCTAGCACAAGGTTCTGGGTCATCTGCAGGACATGTCCCATAGCCCTTACCAAGTCCTTTGCCTCTGGTCGGTGGTGCTCAAAAGTCCTGAAATATATGCAACATAGCACGAAGCATCTGACTCTCAGAAAATCCAAGTGATGGATGTGCATGTGTTCAGGTCCCATGTGTGACTGCTCACAGTGCACATCAAATGGGCAGTCACCTGCCTGTGTCATGACTTCATGGCCACTGCTGTGTGTAAATGCAAGCTTTTATGGGACACGTTTTCTTTGGCACATCTGTTGCTCAGCCATTTTAAAATTCAACCTTTATAGGCAGTTGGTTTTTTTTTTTTAATGTTACACAGAGGATTGCATAATGAAGGGTGAGGTTATGTAAGCAGAATTAGCTCTATGATTATCCACATTCATAGCAATATTTTTTTTTGCAACTGTGCAATCTGCTCTTCCATGTCTCGGTGATGAGAAGAGCCTGTTTGTGATCTTCATTAATAAAGTAATTAAGAAGTGCCTTTTCATTCAGCCCAAGTGTCACGGCAGAGAGCAGGCTGTGGGGGAAATCTGTGCCTTAGAAGTATACTGCCTCCATCTGGCACACACACACACACACACACACACACACACACACACACACACACACGCATGCACGCACGAGAGTCATATGGCTGCAGCAAGCCTGCCTTGAGCCTGCTAGTTGAGACCAATAGATAAGATACAGTGGTGCCTCAGGAAGCTTACATGATCTAGGAGATATGAACTGGACCCAGCACCTCATAGAGCCTACCCTTGACTTGTAGGGAACAACAGCAAATGCAGATTCTGCTGGATGTTCCCATAAGCAGTAAGTGTCCCTCACTAGCCCCTAAGACTCAAAGGGAGGCCAGGATCATGGGACTTTAGAACTGGCAGAATGGACAGGTTTCCCCTGGGGTGGGCCATGAGAAGAATGGGTTATTGATACTCTATTGGCAGCCCTCCTGTGGGGAGTGTCTTACTTGAGTCACATGGTACATCAATCACTCTGGTGTCAGACTAGCTGCAGCCCTGAGGCTAGACAGGTGCTCTGTCTGTGCTTTGTTTTATTTAAGTATTTTTTAGATTTATTTATTTTACATGTATGAGTATTTTACCTGCATGTATGTATATGTGTCCCACATGTATGCCTGGTGTCCTACAAGACCAAAAGAGGACATTAGATCCCCTAGAAGTAGAGTTATGGGTGGTTCTGAGCTGCCATGTGGATGCTGAGAATCAGACCTAAGCCCTCTGGGAGAGCAGCCAGTATTCTTACTCATTGAGCTACCTCTCTGAGCCTCATGTGCATTGGTTTAAAAGTAACACGCACAGGTAAAGGCAGGCTGCACTTTCTTGGGTTTAGAGTATGAAGGTCACACACACCTGGGAAGGGCTTGGGGGCTATATTCATAGTGGTAACATGCCCACAATGCAGCTGTCCTGAGCCTCTACCCTGAAGGGCTGCCATGGCTCCTGGGAGTTGGTAGGGCCTTGCTAGGGCTCCCAGGGTACCCTGAATTGCCTCAGTTTAGGGAAATAAGTTACCCTCTGGTGACTTCCTCAATGATGTCAGAGACAGGTCTGTTGGTTGAAGGGTAGCTGGAGGTCCACAGAGCAAGGGGGACCAGAGGCAAAGAGGCAAGGCTACATCTACCATAGGCATCCAGACAGGCCTTCTAGCTTAGGGGCAGGATGGTAGCCTATTGGCTCCTGGCATCCTTGCATATTGGAGCACAGAACTCACACCTCTGCTGCAGCTGCCAGCTCTGCCAGCTTCTAGCTATTGCTCTGCCTGTGAGGAGCATGAGCTCTTAGAAGAATAGATAGCTCACCTCACTGTCAGGGTACAGTGTGTCCATTCTGGGGTGTCTCTTGGTACCACAGAGCAGTGCCTCCTAAAACCATTATTGTCCCCTCAGGAGAATTGGGCTTGCATGCCTTAAATGGACGGCCCTGCTAAATTAATCTAGGGAAGGCCACACTTACAGTAGATTTCACTTTTTCTTTGGTGAGCTGGGACCAAGATCTTTCTGTTAAAAACAAATGTCTCAAAAAGAAGAAGAAAACAGTCAATTTGCCTTAAAAATTTTTATTGAAGTAATTCTATTCTATGTGAATAGCATCAGGAGATAAAACCTCCATTATTCCCTTTTTAATGAATTATAATTCAGAAAAATCTTGATAACAGAAAATGACTTAAAAGGCACAATGCATAGTTCTTATCTTGTTTCCTTCTAGGCGCTCTTGCTGGGTATGTGTAATTGGCGTCTCTTCAAAGTGGAAACGGGCTTTTAACATCCTTGAATCGAGTGGTATTCATTTATTGAGGCTTCAAGACATAGAATATGCTTCCTGCAAGATTTTCTTCTAACCCTTAGCACAGCTCCATTTACAAGGAGGGTGCAGAAATAAAAATGTGTGCAAAGGGGGTTTCAGTTTTCTGGATTTGCCACTGTGTTTCTACAAATATGGCAGCTGTGTGATTTGGTTCCATTCTCTTAGGATAGGTCACTCTGATGATCAAGTCATTGTACTTGTGGGCCACACAGGTCCTGTTAAGTATAGGTGTAGAGAGGATCGGAGGCCTGGGCTGAGACTGGATTTGTGATTAACCTGTTGGGCTTGCTTGTACCTAACAAGGAAGAAAACTTCCCCCCAAATTGCTGGTGTGGCCTGGCTCCTGAGCACCAGCCAGCCCACCTTCCGTGCCACTGATGCTAGCATCATTTTTGTTTTTTAAAGCTACGATATCGAGGGAAGGGGTTACATCACATACCAAGAGTTTCTGCAGAGACTGGGCATTCGATACTCCTCGAAGATCCACCGGCCCTACAAGGAAGACTATTTCAACTTCCTGGGTCACTTCACAAAGCCCAAGCAGATCCAGGAAGAAATCCAGGAGCTGCAGCAGACAACTGAAAGGTGGGTGTGTCAGCATCGGGGAGGGCTGCTTCTGCATTCTGTCCTCATTTCACCCAGACAGTGAAGGCTCCTCTGACAGGACTCCTGTAAGGCTATGACATCATGCACCACTGTAGGGCCTAGAAATAGCTCTGCCAAAGAGCCACAATACAGGAAGCTTTCCACATCTTTTCTCAGCCAGCCACACCTCACATGTGCTTTCATATTTTATTAGCCCCTCCACTTGAATATCGGCTCTTCCTAGTTGTGTACTGCATGGTGCCTGCACCCCGTTGTGGCCCACTGGAATGTCTGCACCACAGGATGTCTGGTGATACCCCACAGGTTCTATGTAAGCACCTTTAAATGAATGCATGGATGAATGAATGGCTGTGGTTTAAGCCCCCACTTCTGCTTTGTGGATTTTTCCCCAGGATAACCCAGAGCTGCTTAGTGATTGCACTGGGTGACACACAGTGCTCCTTTGATTTCAGCAAAGGAAACGCCTTCCCACCTTAAGTCAGCATGCTGGCCTTGGGGCGTATTGGAACAATTGCTAGAGACACTGGAATGCACGTGACAACGGTCCAAGGCCGTGAGGGTTTGATACGTTTGCATGAAAAGTTCAGGATGTTTGTGCATGTGAGCGAGGACAGGGAGACACCAAGTGAAGGTGAACCATTGGATATGTAGCTGGGCTATGGCTCCTCTTGATTTTACCTATGTGTGTGGCTGTCCCTTACTTGTCCTTTCAAATTGTGGGACGCAGCTCTCACCCCCAACCATGCCCTGCATGGTTCCACCCAAAGTAATGGAACAGGGGCTGTCAAATAACTCCCAAAGAAAGCAAGGAAGCCACAGACACAGGCCAGAGTGGGAATGAGGTAGGTTTAAGAGGCAAGCAAGTGGAATTTACCCCTGGATTATGTTGAAGTTACTACTACACCACAGAAAATGCTGGTAGAGATCTGAGTTTGTGAAACTCAGTGTAAAATATGCACAAGGTTGGTATAAATCAAATATGCCACAAACTGATGAAAAGAGGAATTTATCTTCAGCAGACAGGGCTGGCCTCATTACCCACAAGGGTCTTCACTCCCGTCTCCCCCATGTGTGAGTAATGAGGCTCCTTAGCCCTTCTGAGCACATGTGCCTTCTCTCCTCTGTGCTGGTGACAGTGCAGGGGTGAGCCGGAGGCATGTGTGCTGTGTGACTCTGTGTTCTCACCCTCAGGACCAGATAATTCACGCACACGCGCTCGACCGCCCAGGCATGGTGGTGCCTCCTAATGATGCCAGTGCTGACAAGGCGGGGAAAAGTGGGTCTCAACCTGGAGAGTGAGGCCAGGAAGTTACCCTGTTTCAAAACAAACTGATGGCTTCTAAGAAACAACTCCCAACACCTCTATCCCTGGCCTCCATGCACACCTGTACACACATAAGATACTGGCTTGCAGGAATCATTACATAATGACTGCCTGCCAGGGTGACTGGCTTTCTGAACTCAGATCAGATGGAGTATTAGATTTTTGTCTCCAGCAGGAGTTAATTTTGCTCAGAGTGCCCTGGTGCATGCTGAAGGCAAAGCAGAGACTTCCGTGGTCCCGTATTCGTGCTCCTGGTCTTTATTCTGCTCTTAAGAATGAGAGGCAGAAAAGCCACAATGAACAGCCACCAAGCACAGGCCCTTTCTAGGATGCACATGGAGAGGGGGCAGCTAAACCCAGCAGAGAAGGAAGTGAACAGGACTCAGTGACTACAAGGTCACAGCTGGGTCCTTGGCCTCACTGGCCAGAGCCAGAAGAGGGCAAGACCCCAGACCAGCACTGCTACTCAGTGTGGGCCAACAGTAGCTCTGGTTGGCAGCGTTCTTCCATCTCTGTTCCAAGCCCTCATTTACTCTGTGCACATGTTTACTCTGAAAGGGAAATAATTGCTGCTCAGAAGACAGTCCAAGAAATGCTGAATGCCTCAATTTTCTAAAAATATGTATCTCCAAAAACTGTTTAGAGTCTCCCCACTTTGATTCGTGTTCACTTTGAAGAGCTAAGTGGGATAGCATTGTTGTGGTGACAAGCAGGGGCTCTGTAGCATAGGGCTGGGTCCACAGGACACTGTATGCAACCCAAGGCAGGTGCTGTTGGTTACACTCGGGACACCCGGCACGCTCACCTGGGTCAGATGCCAGTGTCATGAGCCCCTTGCAAGATGGGAGGCCCACAAGGGAAAGGTCTGGGCCTCCACATGGCTTCTGCTAAATGCCGCTACCCCTGCTGAGTAACCAATACTTCACTGCAGCCTGCCTCTCCTGCGTTTGGACAGTTTTGGTTCAGGAGTTTGTTTTCAGGCATGCGCAAGTAGCCATTCCATAAATACCAAGTGGAGACTATAACAAGAGTGAGAACAGATTCAGTGCTTAGCGTGGGTAACCCATTCTGTCCCCTGAGGGACAACCAGGAACCAAGATGGCACCTGAGCTCACCAGGTAGGCATTTCTCTAAGAGGCTTTGGAGAAAGATTTTCAGAGACATGAAAGAGTGAACATGACAGAATTTAGACAGCCATGCTAGAGGCAGGGAGGCAGGAGAATGCATGTGTGGGTGTACATGTGTGTGCTGGCCATGTGGAGGCCAGAGGTCAATCTCTGGGCACCTCAGGTGCCATTCTCCATGTTCTTTGTGACAAGGGCTCTTAGTGACCTGGAGCTTGTCAATCAGGCTGGGCTAGCTGTCGAGGCCCAGAGATCTGCTTGCTGGTCTCTGCCTTGCACGCCAGCCTCACCACCCTTGTCTTTCTCACATGGGTGCTGGGGATGTCGAGGGTCCTCACACTTGCACAGCATCATACACTCTACCCAGGGAGCCCCTCCACACTGCGCTAGTCCCCTGAAGTCGGAAGTCTTCCTCAAGAGTAAATCATAGAGACTGGTACATGGGCTACAGAAGCAACCCAGAGTCCACACAGTCTGTCCTCATCTACCTTGTGGGCTGAGACCCCTTGGCAGGGTCACTGAGAAGGTCCTGTATGTCAGCACACTGTGGGATGCTGCCTGCCTTGTGAGTCACACAGGTGGTGGCTGTCTTTCTAGAAGTAGAAAGGCTTCATCAGAAGAGGAAGCCGGGCTGAGAGACAGCTCCGTGGTTCAGAGTGCTTGCCGCTCTGCCAGGGGGCCTGAGTTCTGCTCCCAGCACTCAGCAGGTTAAGCACCTCTCCCTGAAACTCTAGCTCCTGGGGTCGACCTGGCACCCTTCTGGCCTTCAAAGGGCACCTGCTCTCAGGTACACACACTCATAGTTAGGCACACATGTGCACATAATTTATAAATTATAAAATATAAATAATAAATTATAGAAAAGTAAAATGAAAAGATGAGGTGTCCCAGGATGCTTTGTTCACAATACTGACAGGACCCTGGGCGTGTCTCTGGCCCTTGCTCACTGACCTCCTCCAGTCCTGTCACCTTGGTGTTGGCCAGCTAGTACCCTCATGAGCATCCCTCCTGTTCAGAAGGACAGGCCACTGCCGCTGTGGGGCTTGGTGGCCCCTTTCACGGGCTTTCTTTTCTAGCAGCCCACTGTGCTGTGCACATGTCCTCTCCAAGCCCCTAGCCTTGTCCCTCTGTGATCTTAGTTCTGCTGAAGGTTCTATTTGAGGCCATTGTATGCCACAGCAAGACATGTCACATAGTAGGTGCACACAAGCATTTATTGAGGGTAGAGGCATTTTTCTTACCTGCCATATCTTTGTGTTAAATTCTTGGTTCCCTTTGACAACCACCAACTCTAATACAAACACAGGGTCGGCATTTCTCCAGGGCAGTTTTGCTAATGACAGTAATAATAAAATGACAGTAGCAGAGGCTGATAGCTCTTCTCTGGGACACCTTTTCATGTAAACATTGCCTGCAAAGCACCTTCCAAATTAGCTTTAGGCTGAGCAATCAAGTTGTCACAGTAGAGTGGGCATCAAGGGTCACTTTTCTCCTGGCTTTAGGTGTCTGAGGTGGGTTCTCTTTCAGGGAGAAGCTCATGAACCATTATGAAGAGATCAGCAAGGCGCTCAGCATGCTGGAAAAATCCAAGACGGGCTCTGTAGCCCTCTGCAAGGTGCTGAAGGTGCTGCATGATTGTGGGTGTCCCCTGAAGGAGGAGGAGCTCATCAGCCTTCTGAAGAGGTTGCTTGCCCTTCCTCCCTTCCTCCTTTCCTTTCTTCCTCCTTCCCTCCCTCCCTTCTTTCCTCAACACCCCCCTCCCCTTCCTCTAGTATCTACCTCTCTGTACTGGGCTGGTATGCTGGTTTTTTTTTTTTTTTTTTTTTTTTTTTCCTCCTTCTCTGTCTACTCAAGCAGCCTTTGAGCTTGAAGTGACCTCCACTTGTTGCTTTGCTGTTCTGTGTTTTAGCCAGAAGCAAAGAGACCACCAGTTTGACAAGGGCTTAACTGCTCCCAGGGCCTAGTTTGGGGAAAGCAATGGCCCTTTTGCCCCTGCCCCTGCCCCTGCCCCTGCCCCTGCCCCTGCCCCTGCTTCCCAGCCCCAGTCAGTAGCTCAAGGCTTTTAGTTGTTGGCTTTGGAACAGAATTGTCCTTTTCTAGATGGCAAGCTTATATCAACACTTCTTGGTGTGTGTGTGTGTGTGTGTGTGTGTGTGTGTGTGTGTGTGTGAACCTATAAGCATTGTTGATATAGACATGTCAATCCTCATTCCTCAGTTCCCACCACATAACACAAACATACAGAACTTACCACACAGTTGCTGGCCCTGACTCTGGGTGGTCCCCCAGTAGGACCCACCTCTGGTCCTTACCCATCACTTTTCCTTTCTATCTAGTACTATCCCCGGGGTCATGTGATTATTCTTCATGTTTGCTTAGTGTCCTGGTTCCTTGTCACCACTAATAAATCCCCAGCACACGCTGTGACAAATGTTCCTATTCAGTGTGTTCTGTCTCCTAAGGCACGCTATTTTGTGTTCTGTGATTTTTGGAAGTTTTCTTGTCTTAGCTCATTAACAATTTCCTTTCCTTTGTTCATTTTGAAATTTTGAAGCTTCTGTGGCTGAACAGTGAGTCACCCTGACTTAATCCCTCAAGGGCTCTGATCTTTCTCATTGATTTGTATCTTTTACTTTTCTGGGAAAATGCCCTGGTCCTCACTTCCCAGTCTTCTTGCCCCTACTGTCTTCAAGTATTCAGTGCTTGGGTTTGTTCTCTATGAGCCACTGTCTTACAGAAAGACATCCTATTCTTAGTTCATCGACATCAAATTTCATTTATCAAAAATTAACAAACTGTTTTTGAAAGTTTTCTTGGTGTGTGTGTGTGTGTGTGTGTGTGTGTGTGGAGGGGCATGTTTCAGAGGGTCAAGACACTTGCTGCCAAGCCTGACCATCGAGTTCAATGCTCTGGGTCCTGGAAGAAAAGAATGAATCCCCACAAATTGCCCTCTGACCTTTACATGCAAACTATGACACATAAACATGCATGTACATATGCATATTTAATAAATACATAAATACAAATTTGAAGTCTCTTTAAAAAACAGCTTCCTTTGCCTGAGAAATCTCTCCTCAGTGTTGCATTTGTAGTTTGACCTGATGGGCCTTGAGAGCTTCTTTGGAGGGTCTAGTAGGGGACTGCAGCTACTCGTATACCCTTGACCAAAGACCAGTCCTCCTCCATTCGGGCAAGGTCGTCCTCTTTGGCCAAGTGCACAACTTGAGGAGGGACACACATGAAAGGGTAAGGGAGGAAGGGGACACCCACCCAGCCATCTGGATCAGCTGAATTAACCATGTTCACCAGTGGGGTGACATGTCACAGCCAGGTCTCCCTCACATTCCACACTGTTGCAATTTTACCAGTCCTCCATATTGGATGTGCCTTTCATAAGCATACTTATGTTACTGGGGAATGCTGGGAGCAGAGTAGAAGTTCCCCAGAGAGGTGAGTCTATCATAGTCCAGACTATAGGAGAAACGGATGCATTGTCTCCTTATTCAGGGCTACAGGAGGCTCAGCTGGAATAAGTGGTTCTCAGATTAAAACCATGACCCAGGCAGTTCTGGTGCATTTACAAAAACACCCTATCCTTTCCAAAACATGAAGGGCATTCTCAGGTCTCCAGAAAGAGAAGAAAGTGAAGCCTACAGGTTGCTGGGCACTGCTGGGCCACATGACTTCCTTGCACACTCAGCCTCTCCAGTGGAATCCTATAAGCCCTGAGTCTGTGCATGTACCTGTCTTTCCAGGTTTCAGGGCTACATTTTTCCCTGTGACCTCACATCTCTGCTGGGTCCAAGAAAAGCCATCCAGTGTGTACAGTTTCTTCTTGTTGGACTGAGGGCCATGCTGCTGAGTCTGCTCACAGCTGAGCCTTTGAATTCTTACTTGTGTTCTCCCTTTGCTGGATCCCTTCCTGGAGTAACTTTCCAGGAAAGGATAGACAAGAAGTACCTTACCTGAGTCATTTCATTCTGGACTCTTCATTCTCTCTCATACAGATTGTTAGCTTATATGCACCTGGAATCCAGGAAGAAAATGATTTTCCTTTCTGGTTTTAAAGGCATTGCTTCATTATCTACAAGCTGTAAGAAGCTTACCGCCTCTGTGTGTGTGTGTGTGTGTGTGTGTGTGTGTACACATGTCTATTGTGTGTGCATGTGCATACTGTGTGTTATATGTATGTGTATGTTATATATTATAGTGTGTTTATATGTAGTGTGTATTATAGTATGTATTGTTATGTAGTAGGTGCATGCATGCATGTATGTGTGATGTTTATGGTATGTGTTTGTGTTATGTGATATGTGTATGTATGTATGTATATGTGTGCATTTGTGGTATATATATGGTATGGGCATGTATGTGGTATCTCATGGTATGTGCTATATCATCTATATGTGTATGCTGTGTATATGTGTAAGTTGTGTGTTTGTGGTATGTATGGAGTGTGTGCATATGTTGTATGGTACATGTGATATGTGGAAATGAAGGGCCATACCATCTTGAACTGCTCAGTCTTTTTTCCTTTCAGAGTCTTCTCACTGAATCTATTTCCAGCTAAATAAGGATTGTTATGTTCAATGAATAAATCATGGGGAAATAGATGCAGATAAATAATTAGTTAAATGGTTCTGAGAGAGTCTGGTTAAATTGTAGTTAGACTTGATACTTTTATAAACAGTATAAAAGACCTTGGAGCTTCTACGCTCCACCTTTCAATGGGTGATCAACTTTCCTATGTGTTGAAGCCTTAATAAGGATCCATCACTCAGTCACTTGTTCCTCCTCAAAGACCCCTTGATGATAAACATCTTGGCTATTGGTAATTACATGTAGATTATTCTTTCCCAGATCCAAAATAGGCTTTTCTAAACCCTAGTGAGGAGGTTCTCATATGCATTTGCTTTATTGCTGTATTTTAATACTGCACTGGCAGCTCCTCCCTGCACATGAAGCAGTGCTGATTGTCTGTCTCCTTGGGTCCCTGTCACATGATCCATGCCAATGCAAGCAGACTGGGATGCTCTGCAGCTGCAACTTGCAAACCTAGGCTTTTGCCTCTTCTTCAAAAGCATCCGAGTCACTAGAAACTTCTCTCCCGCTCAAGCTTCTAAGCTTTCCTACTCTGATGCTTGCTCTCATCCAGCTGACAGAAAATCCAGGCACTCAAGGATCCCAAGAATGTAATCACAGAAGTAGCAACCTTTTGTTTGTGTGCACACATGTGCAGGTATACATACACATGTGTGTCCACACACATGAATGTTGTCTACCCCCTTCCTTCCTTCCCTCCTTCTTTTGTTCGTTCATTCCTTCCTCCCTCCCTCCTTTCCTTCCTTCCTTTTTTTCTTTCTCTTTTCTTCCTTCCTCACTTCCTTTCATTCATACACTTTTTTTCAGACTGGGAACGGACTTATAACTCACCAATTAGGCTATGCTAGCAAGCCTAGGCATCCATGTATCTCCTTCACCCCCCACACCTAGCCTTAAAAAACAAACAAACAAAATAGGGGTATGGGATCAAATTCAAGTCCTTGTTGTTATTCAGCAAGTGCTTCCATCTGGGTCATGTCCCCAGCCCAGGAACTGGGAGCATGAAGACAAGAAACAATACTCCGAGTCACTAGTGTCTTTAATAAACACACTGGGTGTTTGTAGGAAACTCTCCAACCTTACTCAAGTTATTCTTTCAGAATTTAAAGGGAATTGTTTCCAGTCTGAGTTGAGGACACAAAGGAGCTGTCATTGCTGCATGGATGTCCTTGTGGGGACATATACTGAGATGGAATTTTTATTGAGGAAATATTAAGCTAGATAGGTTTTGCACAATGCCCTTGGAGAGCCTTTGGCTTGACAACTTCATTTCAGTCAGACTTAGGAGAGAATTTAGTGTGCCTGCCTCAGTTCTCCCATCCTTGTACTGTCCCTGATGCACTCCTCTTCTGAGTCCCATTGCCACACCTCCCTGCACACCCCATAAGGCCACCACCATGATGGGAACCTCCTATCCAGCTTGTAGTTCAGATGGCCGATGCCCAGTTTGTCCTGCTATCCTCATCAGGCTGTCCTTCCACAAATGCCCCAGAGTTGGGTGGGCCAGCATCTTTCACCCAGCAACCCTTGCTGCCTCCTGCTCTTTGAAACTCTGAGCCCCAATACCCAGCCATCAGGTTTGGGGTCTTGGGACAGGGCAGTCCATGGCCTTACCTCTGGGGCAACTCCCAGTCTTGCATCTCATAGCCCTCACCTTGTTTCCTCTTTATGGTGGCGTTCATGTGTGCACATCAGAAAGCAGCACCTTTAAGCAGGCATGTGTCAGCAGGGAGGGCACTCTCCTCTTCAAATCATTCTCTTCCCCACACTGCTCCCGTATCCTGCAACTGTTTGTTGGATGAATAACCAACTTTTTTTTTCCAATAAATCTGTTCTTTTCTTTTGTGGGGGAAGCTTGGGCATCAGTGTGCATAATAATTGCATCAATCCCCAAGACTTGTTGAGAGCACTTGAGACCAACAAGACAAGCAAAGCTCAGCCAAAAGAAAAAGAAGAAAGCACACCACCACCAATCAACTTTTCCAGGCTGAACCCTGAGGAAGTGGTGAAGAGCATGCAGGTGTTGGTGGACTCCTCCCAGCCTGCTTTGTTAAAGGTAGGGTAAAGTGCAAAGAGCCCTGTGGTGTAAACTCCCTTCTATTCCTTCCAGGGGTTCCAAACTGCCCAAATCCACCTCTCCTGAATCTCTTGATCATCTACTTGATCCAGAGGAGGTTGCTGATTGGAAAAACTGTTCCTCCCTGGTTGCTCTGTAAAATGTCACCCTGACTTTGCTCAGCCCATTTAGGTGGATTCAGCAAACATCAGGCAAGCTGATGCCACAGGGCCAGGCAGAAAAGACTCCTCATATAAGGAGTGAGATGAGGCTGACACCTTGGCCTATCCTCAGACCTCTACATTGGCACACATGTGCCCACATTCACACACACAAGTATAATTTGTTTTAAAGGGCAGAGAGGCTGGATAGTAGTGGCTCACACACCTCATGAATTCTCATGTGCTCAAGCAAGTGACCCATGGGAACGGAAGTTAAGGTGACTTTCAAGAAGTTGAACAGGATAGGATGTGTCACAAAAATGGTAGTAAAGGAGACCAGAAAGCCATGGACCATCTGAGGAGAAGGATTTCTGCCAGTCTCCCCTGGGTAGCCCCATTTGTGTGATGTGGTACTTCGAGCTGTCTGGTGTCTCTGGAAAGAGTCATTTGGAACTATGTTCTTGAAGGTGTCCCCAGCCTGGTCCACAGTTAGCGGAGGTCAGCATACCAACCCCAGGTGACAACAGTCAGCTCAGACTAAAAAATGCCAGAGGCCACTAGGACCATGTGCATGAGGCCTTTACCAGGAAGATCCACCCCCACAGCAGAGCCCTAGCCTCCACATTGAGAGGGCTTGGCTTGCATTGATGGAAGCTTCCAGAGCTTTGTGGATGGACAGCCATGCTCCTGCCTTCGGAGAGCTTTGGTCGGGTAACAACCTTCATAGAATCCATGGATTTTTATCTCTCCCCAAGCAGAGTCTGCAGGTTGGGGTCACTCTGTTCTACAGGTGGGGAAACTGAGGCTCGGGGGAAACTGAGGCTTGCCATAGCCTCATAGGTCACAGGTAGCAGAGCTGTGAACATGGCTGGGCATAAAGAAGGACCAGTCCATGCCCTTCTTTTCCCAATCTGGGAGGCCTAAGGAGTTAAAGTCCTAGCTGGGCTCTCTGGCTCACAGCTGTTATCACCTTGATTGGGAGGCTGAGGCAGGAGAATTGCTGCAGGTAGTAGACCAGCCTAATCTATGTAGAAAGAACACTGTCCCTGGAGAATGTTATAGAGTTGTTTTACTGATGTGTAAATGTCTATTGCTCACCAGAAACACAAGTTCAGTCTCTTAGATTATAAAGCCCTCCTGGGCAGAGGCTCCCAAGGGACTCTAAACTTAGAATATCCATCTACTCCCTCTGTGTAAGGAGGTGAGGCAGGCTCTTGCATCCAAAACTGAGGGGCAATGTGGAAAGACACAGAAAGATGGGTTTGGACTAACCAGCTGGGAGATGCCCTGGAACTTGGCCTCTCTCCTACAAAGCAGGCATGCTAGTATTCTCTCCATGAGGATTTAGCATCCCAGGTCATTAACCAGGAGCAAAGGGAAGGCAGCTTTACAGTGTGGCATCTGTGTGAGCTGTAGGAGGACAGGTATTCACCAGGCTTATCAGTTTGGGGACAGCTGAGACTCCCACTTTCTGCATACTGGCCCCTTTTTCAGAGTTTTGGAAGCACCATGCAGAAAAAGAACTCCATGTTCAGGGTGTTTTGTTCTTCTTTGGTCCTCAAGTGGCACATCAAGCTTGGCATCTCAGGATATTTCTGAAGCTGGGGACCACAGGCTTCGGGGAGGAGGGGGAATCAATGGTTCCTTCTGAAAAGTGTTCTTTGTGTGGCATGAGGTTCTATAGCAAAGAGTACAGGATGTGAGCTGTGGGGTGGAGGAGGGCTGAGGGCAGGGAAAAGAAGGAGGGGAGGAGGCTGGTTCAGAATGGCCACCACAGGGGACAGGGCATGTGAATACATCCCTGAATGCCACTGCAGATGCCACATACCTGTCTTGTTTCCAGACAGTATAGCTGCCATGTACCCTTGCAATGTATAGATTTCAAAGCCTTTTCCTATTGAGCTCCTACATCCGTGCTGTGGCTAGCAGACTGAGTTTACACACAGGCCTGTGGCTAGAGGGAGCTGTGCCCACATCACTTCTCAGGTGTTCCCCAGAATGTCAACCGTGTCTTCTCCCCATACCACATGTCTTCTAGCATCCTCACAGCACAAATGGATTTTCTTCAGATGGCTGTGCACCTGGTTCCCACAACCCTGTATTTTCTAGCCAGAGACTCACTCTTAGCCACCCTCAGCTAAGTCCACCTTTATGGACAATGTGCTGAAGATGGGAGAGATCAGGACTTAGCTGAGCATCTCAGCCCAGGACCCAGGGTCAGGGACTGCCCCGTGTGTCCCCTGCTGTGTCACCAGCTGTGTCCCCCCTGTCCCCTGCTGTGCCCCATTGTGCCCATGCTGTGCCCTGCTGCCTCAATGCTGAAAAGCATTGTAGTATACCCCTGCCCTGAGGTGTGCCTAAAGATCAAGAAAAGCAGTCTCAGGGGAGCTGGGCTGGAGGTTGCAGACATGTTAATTTTTACTTTTGAAAACAGCATCTTAAGTCCACCACTTGATAAAACTCAGTGCAGTAAGAATGAATGATCTTGTTTAGGCAGATGGGAAAAGATGTGCATATATTGTTTATGGCATGTTTTTTCGCCTTCTTTGGCGATGACTGCACTTCTTGACCCGCGGTGCGCCACTGTTACCACATGCCCGCCCTGCCATGTGTTGGGATGACTGCACAGTTTGGCTCATGGTGTGGACACAGTCCCTCAAGCATAGGTCAGGATAACCATTTGCCAGTTGCATTATAGCTTTTCTTGTGTGTGTGTGTGTGTATGTGTTTTAGGCATTTTCTGCACTGGATAAAGAGGACACGGGGTTCGTGAAAGCTATGGACTTTGGAGACATCCTGAAGAGTTTCTGTCAGAAACTAACAGATAACCAGTATCATTATTTTTTGAGAAAATTAAGGATTCACCTAACACCCCATATACACTGGAAATACTTCCTGGAGAACTTTGGCTCCTTCCTGGAGGAGGTAAGGTGGCTAAGAGGGACAGCAGATCCAAGACGAGAAACTGAGAACTATGGAGAGTGCTAGAAGGGGGAAGTGTTTTGTTTCAAAGAAGCCTGGAGCTTGCTGTTATCTGGTGGCTTTTGCCAGCCCAAAGGCTCTCAGATCACAGAAACGAGGCCCACTATGGCCAGACTGAGGACTGCACCAGCAGAGACCCAGGCAGAGGTGAATGTGGAGCTGTGGTGGGTCCTGACAGACACACAGATGGAAGGCAGAGAGTCCCTTGGGAAGCCAGGGAGGACATAACCAAGGGGCAGTGAAGACGGCCGCCCACAGGGTTGTTCTCTGTCATCCCTGGAGAGTGACACTGGGTGTCACTCTTGCTTTGTGTGGCTGCAGAAGTAGGTCTACACCATTGACAACAGTTCCGGCCTAGTTGAATGAGTAGATGCTATTCCACACTGCCCTCTATGCTGAGGCAGCAGGGACACAGCTTTTGTGACCCCTGCCTACATGGAGGCAAAAATTTAAATGTGGAGGGATAAGAGGGTATAGTAGACAAACCACAGAGAGCGCATCCTAGATGGGGCTACACTGTCTTCTGAGCTGGCTGCTCTGGTCCTTTCTTGATGTCCTTTCCAGTTGTCTGCCTATGTGTGACCATGTGTTGCATGCCCAAGCCCATTGTCCTTAGTCATGTATCGCAAATAAATTCCTATAGAGGAGATGGCCAGAGCAGTGGCCTGGTTAGGCACCACCTAATAATATGACAATTTTATAGGTAAAGATTCTGGCTCAGAGATTTTGGTGATGTCTCCAGTGAGCAAGTGTAGGCTGATGTGTGAACCCAGGAGGCCAGGCTTCAGGTCTCCCACTTGTGGATGTCCTCCTGCCTCAGCCTCCCAGTCTTGGAATTACAGTCATGAGACAGCATGCCCAGTTTTTACTGAGGTTAATTAATACATTGGCTTTAGTTCACCCACACAAGTTGTTATAAAAATAATCTCCATATTAAATGGAAATATCCTCTGTCAAGAGCACACTAGTGTTCTTGTGTGTGTGTGTGTGTGTGTGTATGTGTGTGTGTGTGTGTGTATTCCCACCCTCCTGCTGGGAGCATATAGTTTATCTTGTGTTTCCTCCATTATAGACAAAGCACAAGCCTTTGTGCCTGTCCCCTGTGACACACATACATAAATATACACATATGTGATGCATGCATGTAAACATGCATGGACAATCATGCACCAGGGTACACATATAGCTGCTACATGTGAAATACCTATTGGTTCTGATGCTGCCTGCAGTCTCTTATGTGGTTATGTGGTGCACACTAGGCTTCCTCATGCTCCATGGTCCCACCAGCCCTCTGTCTTCAGCCACATTTGCCTCTGCCTTGGTGTTAAGAAGATCAGGCTGCAGGGATTTCAGTCCCTTGTTGCCTGCAAGTTGTGAAGACCTTCTCCTGGTCTGTGGCAGGATTTTGATCTTCACATCTGGTGGCCATTGCTCTCCACTGTGATTATGTTTTTTGTCATCTTATAAGATGCATTGTTTGTTGTACAGAATTTGGAAAAGGTAGCAGTTATATGACCCCCACAGTGACAATGACTTGTTAGTATAAGAGATGCAGTGAGCTCTGGCTCGACCCTGGGTACTTCCTGTATGTTTCCTCACCTACAGAGCTTCTAGACATCAGGTAGAATGATGCTGATCCTTGAAAATTTCCCATTGACCCTCTTACTCCTAATCGTTTAGATTTTTCTGACTTTTGCCAATGTGATTTATTCTTCAGTGAACACTGTCTTTTGTTAATCTATGTCCACATTTTAAATTTTCCAACATGTACAGGGTGCTTGCACGTGTGGCCATATGTATATTTGGGTGCATGAATGTGGAGACTGGAGGTTGATACCTCAATTTCACTCTGCTTTATTTCCTGTGGCTGGGTCTCCTGATGACCAGCAGTTTAGCTAGCCAGCTCCTCCTGATGACTACCTCATGAGGGCTGACATCACAGGTGGGCTGCTGTACCTGCCCAGTTTGTTGAGTTTTATGTTTGTTTGTTTGTTTTTTGTGGGGGTTTTTCAATATTTTGAGGATCTCATCAAATTGTGTTTACATTATTTCCAACCCTTTCATCTCCCTACTCAAACTCTTCCCCTATCCTCCCCACTCCAGGCAAATCTGTGACCTCTTCTTTAATTATTGTTGTATAAATATACATACATGTGTACAGAGAGAGAGAGGGTGGGTAGACAGAGCAAAAGCCTGTTGAGTCCTGTCTTAGGGTTTTTATTGCTGTGAAGAGACACCATGATCATGACAACTATTATAAAGAAAACATTTCATTGAGGTGGCAGCTTACAGAGTCAGAGGTTCAGTCCATTATCATGTGTGCCTGCAGCACACAGGCAGACATGGTACTAGAGTTGATAGTGCTATATCTTGTAGGTCATGGTGTCTCCATCTTTAACAGTCTCCATGTGTTGCAAAAAGCCTCTAGGATGTCGGGTGAGAGCTGCACTTCTCTGTAGTATGCAGATAGGTATTTAGGATGCATTCAGTCAACCTCACCTCCAGACACACTTTGCCTAACCCCCGATGAGGGTTCTAGAAGAATGTCCATGGAGTGATACTAACTGTACAGCAGTGGAGCTCTGGAAGAGCCCAGGCCACAGGGGGCCACTGCCACCCTCTGCACATTAACTGTACCATAGTGAGATTGGTCCAGGAGGATGCAGCAGAGAGCTAGCTGCACCCCATCCCTGCACATCCCCCAGGGTTCTGAAGACACCTGGCTGAGAGGGGAACACCTAAGCCTGGGTGAACCACAAGACCATCGTTTATCAGGATGTCAAGCTGAGCCAGGGATCACAGGCTCAAAGGACCATCAGTCCCCATGAAGGGAACCATAGCATAGGCACCATGTGGGTGTTCCTTGGTTCTGTTTACTCATCACCTGGAGCAGGAAGTGGGGGGGGGCGGAGACCACCCACCAGCTCTTGAGTGCTTTTCAGAGCATAGGTGCCTCATTCTGGGCCACAAAGTAATGACTGGAGACTCCCCGCTCCTTGTTATTGGAGGGTTGGAGGGAAACAGGTTTTTGTCACTGAGTCTGCTATAGTTTAATGCCAGGCTCTTCACCAGAAAGTAAGAAAGGTCACAAGTGATAGGGCTGGTAAAGCATCACTTAAGCTCATTACTGGGACACTTGCAATCCCTTCCCTCTGGGGACACAGAGGAGGCAAGTAATTAAAAAGAGATTACTGAAGTGTAATTAAGAAAGCCAGCACCTTCCTCAGAAAGGAAATCAGCACCCCCAGCCATGGCCACTGCATTCTTGGGATGTAGGATTGTACTCCTGCCCTCAGTAAGACCTCAAGTGTATGAAAAGAGTAACGTGTCATTTCACTCCCCCTGTTTGTCATGCTCAGTGAGCCTCAACGTCTCTTCTCACACATGTGTGTGATCTTGTGGCTGTCGAGCAGACATGTGCACTTGAGTCCTTCCTGCAGGAGCATCTGTCCTTCTGTATCCTGGGTCCTGGCTCCATGATGGGGCTGGTCTAGCACAGGTTCCTTCTGCTTCCAGAAGCACCAGTGCAGCTGGTGCTTTGCAAGAGGCAGGGTCAGGGCAGAAGAGCACACCCAAGGCTGTAGTCCCACTGTGGGCAGGCTCAGGAGTCCACCTGTGAGCCAGGCCTGAGGCACTTCCTATGCAAGTTGCACTCACAGGAAAGCCAGTCCCATGGTTACAGAGGCCAGTGGGCCCATACAGGTGACTCCAGTGTTCCTCATCATTGGAAACCCACCACACTGACTCCAGGATTAGACACTTTGACCTCCCCGGCATTTAGGAGGAAGGATACATGTTAAACATGAAATGTGACCAGTGGCCAGGTTAGAGGACAAAGCAGTCAGCAAGGGACAGGAGCTGGGTGACAGCACAGGCCCTTCTTCATGCTCATGTCCCTTCCCAGCCAACCTTTCCACCTCCAGAAAAACTTTCCACACCCAAGTACTTCATGCAGAAGACAGAGCATCACCTTGCTTGAAGAAAACCACTCCTGCTCTTTGTATTTTTGGATCTACTGAATACCATAGTGAGTTCATCAGTGACACTGCCAGCTAGTCATGCCAGGAAGCCAGGAGCCAACCTCAGGGTCACTGCATCAAGGAGGTCCTGCAGAGAATGGCTGTGATACAGACTCCCCCACCATGATCTTCAAGCTGTATTTGGTAGTTCCTCAATTCCAGGTCCAGGCATGTGATGGACAAGGAGGTATACTCAGAGGACCCTATTGGGTGATTCATCAACACAGAAATGGTCACAACTGTTCAAAAAAAAAAGAAGCAAAAAAAAAAAAAAAACCCAAGTTCGTGGCCCCCACAGACACTGGATTTTGGAGTGTGCTGAGAATTTAAGAAGAAAGAACAAATTGCTCAACCAGTGATTGTGCCTGGCTAGCCACCATCACAATAAATGTCACCAGGCAGGTGGATATCAGGTGGCAGGTGCTCCCAGCCAGCCATGTTCCAAGCATTCCCATAATCCCCGTGGCTGGTCCTCACAATAGCATTGCACTCTGTGAGTGGGTTACACCAAGGCTGTGTTACAAAGGAGGAAACCGAGGTTCAGAAAGCTGTGGTACCTCCTATGTTTAGACGCCCGGTCTCACCCCCACTCCCAGAGATAGATATCCAGTGCTGGGATTAGAACCCTGTGTCTAGATATCCAGCCTGGGGACTCTATTTCCCTCTAGTAAAGTGAAGGCTGTCCCACAGATGACTGTGGTGGACAAGGCTTCGCAGAGAATCCCTGGCCAGCAAACGCCAAATGTCTGTATAATTATTTGCATTCTACTCTACTCCAGTTTGTATTGAATGCTTGGTGATGATGTGGTCAGTGGTGTGGAAGTTGAGTAGAGGAATTTATTAGCATTTTCAGAATCGACTTAGCCCCTGAGTTTATTGAGTCATAAAAGGGCCAAAGGGGCGGCTTTGATTCTTCCCACTTTA